GTCGGCCAGTCATCTGTGTACAATTCTAGATGAAGTGAAATGCGAACTATGGAACAAAGCAATCGGACGATTTCGAAAGACCCGGACAATGGAATTGCACCACGCTGGGCCAAACAAAATGATCTCAAATATCGCTGGCAGGGCCATTGTTTATCACCCGCTGACAGCGTCAGCACTGCAGCCTGTCGTGGAAGCCAGCCATGAGGCCCCGACAGTCAGTCCACGTGGACGGACGAACGTTTACTCCACGAACCAATCACTTTACCGGAAATGGCGCTGCCGCTCACGCTGCCGAAGCTAAAGCCGTCACTGTTGCTGCAAAGGCCGGGGAGATTGCTCCACTGCCCGGCCAAGACACCAACGGCTATACTCCCAGGTCCCCAAGCCACGTCCCTGCGCCGCACGCCACGTCAGGACATCCGACGTCTGATGGCTTCTCGTGGTGCGACCGTGAACAGCGGGAGCGCTCTCTTTTTTAGGGTTACATAACTATGCTTGGGTTTATCTGCGTTGCATGTCCATGGCACCAATGTCAAATTTTTAGAAAGCTGGGAGTTTCAGCTCCCCTGGTTCACCCTCCTCTTCCTTTCCATCCACCCAGTTCCCACGTACCGCACGTACACAATACATCCAAGCGCTAGAACCAAGGTGTTTTCCGGTGACAGTAGCCCCAGTTAATGTTTGCAGTCCTCTTGTCATAGAACAATGATTTGTGACTCCGGATACGTTACTGATACATCATTGCCACACTCGACATCAGACATCTGCGTAATGACATTTAAAAAGGCTAACTTCAAGGACACCGCAAAATAGAACGCAACGTATCAGTGGTCGCTCATTCAGACCACTTTTAAAATGTCAGAGCATTCCAAAACCTTTTTAATAAATTAATGTTTTATCTTATAAGATTATGAATAGTCTATATGCGCACAACTGCATTTATCTATCTAGAGAGAGGGGCGTACGTATTATATATATATATATATATATATATATATATATATATATATATAACAATTATACATAATAATAATATATTGCAATGCAAACTCAAATTTCGTCAATTAACATGGAACAAAAAAATACATAATTTAAGCAACACCTTTACAGCCCCAACAGATGCAGACCAAAACAATCATTGCAGCTTCTCCAACGTTTGTATGCCTGACGTTACCCAACCGAAATAGCCTTTAGTGCCACCAGTTCCGAGATTAGCGCTAAAGCACTGTCATATTGTGAAATTTCACCCCCGTCACAAGATAGATACTCCGGCCAAACTTTTGCAACTGAAGTAGAGCATAAAGAGCAAACCTACTACGCAGTAATTCATATAACTTATTTCGGTGTGATCGACCTCTTCAAGCGCAGAACGAATGCCCTCCAAAACGATCATGTGTTGAACGATCTCATATCGAGCCTTCTGATAGCCAATCGGGTAAATTGCCGCCCGCTAATGGGCCGGATAGCTTTGCGACGCACTGACGCGCGTCAGCGCCCCTCCCTCCCCCCCCCCCCCCCCCCCCCCCCAGCCTCGTGCGCTCTAAGCTGCGGTCGCTCAGGCGGCGACCGGCCGGGATAAAAACAGCCGCGTCCGGTTCTCAAAAGAGATATCAGAGCGGATGGACAAGGATGCACCAGGCCCTGCGCATCTATTTGCACCTTAAGCATGCAAAATATTTGCGTGATAGCACAGGGTTACTGACCTGTGATTGGTCAAAGTGGGTCACGTTCGAAAAACTTAATATGCCGCCATTTTCTGTTTTTACGGTCGACCAATATCACGCTTGCATCGTGCGTGTGCTCAGAGCTTGTAGCTGTTCGGATGTCTTAAAATCGTGACGTAGGTAGAGGAAATTGACCTAACGTCAGCTGTTTTTGCGTTGTTCGTATCATTCTGGGGAAACAAATAATACCTTCGGAACAAGTTCGGCTTGGGATGATGGTAGAACACGACAGGGTGTTGCGAAGATAAAACTGCTACCATCTCAGGTCAGTTCAAGTCGCGTCTGACCTTAACAGCACGCTGTTGCTCTCCACACGTTTACATTTGCGTGTCGTTAGTAATGACTCCCTGTTATGACTCCGAGGAGTTAGTAATAACTGCTTGGATCTTCGCCGTCGTACGAAACGCCGTTCGGCACAATAAACAGCTCCTTAACCACATCCTACCTGAGCTGGCAACCTGCTCTTGATCTGAGATGTTCTGTTACATAACTTTGAGTTCATGCTACTTTGTATTGGTGCAGAATTTCCCGGGATGTAGCGCAGCCTGTCTAGTGTCTGGTATCTATGAGGCCCAGCCAGCGGAAGTAAGCTGGTGCTTACTGTTACAAACTAGCTCCATGTGAAATATGACTGAGGTACACCCCACTGATCTGGCATCATCCCAGGCAGACCTCTTAACAGCCGCGAGCATTTAGCAGCCGTCACTGTTTAGCATCAGATCAAATGCTGTTATTGAGGTCGGGTGGCCTTGGGTGATTTACCATATGGCTCAGTCCTATATTATGTTTCTTGATTCACTTACCAAATAAGTGCAATTAAGTTTCGCTATACAACGGAACAAATGTAACGGATCATACACATATATTGTTCACTCTTACCTATGCTTGGTGTGCGATATGTTGGACAGCGGTTTTTGCGCTCTGGGTGATGACAGCTTTTCATCGGATTTGCATATCCTTTCTAGCAAGCATTGACCCTCTCAAGAGCCCATCTCCAGTCGGGTGTGCAAGTCTCACCAGCTAGCCGGGTGCGAGCCAGTGATCACCGAGCCCATCCCCAGCCGGAAATACAAGTCCAACCAGCTGGCCAGGTGCGAGCCAGTGTTCCCCGAGCTCGGCGAGCGCGCCTGCGAGCCGCTTCAGGAACCGGCGGCAGGCTCAGGCCTTCGCTCACACTGGACCATGCCGCGGGGGGCTGGGAGACCGGGCAGTATAGCGGAAGGCTGGGCCACCGGACCATGCAGCCCAGGAAACCGTCACAATAACCGCCAGGAAATGGGCTGTTTGGCCGTCACGCAAAACCTTACACTACCGATCAGTCGGCCCAGTCTGGTGATGAATGACGCAACAGGCCGCACAAACGTGTGGCGCAAGCACAGAATCACGCTCTTTCTGGTGATGCCAAGTGCCGACTGTTGGACCACGTCCCATGGAAAGCACTCATTCCTTCATTGCAAGCGTCCGACAAAAAAATATCGGTTTGAACGCCCCAATAGTGCGGAGAGATTAATGCGTAACTGAAGAGTGTGAAGATGCCAGAAGGGTATAAGTGCTTGTTTAAAAAGGGGTGAGTCTTAAAGTTATTTCACGTACTCAGAGCTTATGCATGACTTGGACGCCCTTCGTAAGTTAGCTTATTCGAGTGGCCACCTCTCCTATGTAATGGTTCGCAAGCTAGCACGTGCATGGCCGTGCCTGACAATAAGGCCGACCCCATCACGCCTGGTTGGTTCATGTCCTGGACGTGGTCGACCCAAGTCCCTGCATTAAATATGCTTCGCAGTTCATTCAAATCAAAGTTGGGAGGAGGCCGCCCCCTCACATGCAACGTCGGGGCCAGTCATGACTACTTGCTGATATAACTCACAACTGGCCGCGCACGGGCCGCGCGTGGCTGAGACTTGTCAAGCCCACGCATCATGGCTTGCAGCAGTTTAAGGCCGACAGAGAGCGCTCATGCCTGACAAGTGCCGGCCGCACAAGCCAATCTCGAGTACCAGGCGTTGATGGGCTTTGTATTTCACTCCTACGCGTTTGACATGGACCGTCAGCGCTCAAGAAACGCAGGACGAGACCTTAAAGTCGTATGACAACTGTTGTTAGATGACCGTCACCAGACATTTGTCTGGTTCCAAAAAGTTTTTTCATGGAAACGAGCTCCTGGTTCCTAGTTCCTGAACTAAGAAAAAGCCAAGAACCAGTCTGGCATTAGGACGAGGAAGCCAGCAGGAAACAGGATCCGGTCTTAATTAAGCCCAGATATCCAGCGAGAGCCAGGATCCTGCCATATATTTAGCGGAAAGATCCTGCAAGAACCAAGGTTCAGACCGTTAGTAAGCCGAAAGATCCAGCAAGAGCCAATATCTAGTCTGATACGAAGCCAAAAGAACCAGCAAGAGCCACAATCTAGCCAGCCATGGTGTCGAAAGATTCAGCAAAAACAAAGGTCCAGCCTAACATTGTGCCACGAGATCCAGCAAGAGCAAAGACACATCCTGGGCACGTAGAGATCCAGCAAAACCAAGATATAGCTCAGGATTAAGTTGAAATCCAGCAAGAGCCAGTCTCGTCTGGCATGATGTCAATGCCAGCGTCGTGAACCAGAACCTTATCTGAGACTTCTGTCAGCCTTGATTTTTTAGTGTCAGCAAGGTGTTACTCTGGGGCACGATCTTTCAAAAGAGTCTGGGAGGCTGAACAGGGAAAAGGGTTATACCTATTCCCACCGTCTTGTAACATTTGAGAGGGCTGAGGCAACTAAACAATATGAAAGCACACCCCTGGTGCTCATTAAAGTGAATTGAAATGAATTGAAGAAATCAATGGAAACAATATCCATCAACCCTTTTAGAAAGCTTTCCAAATTTGAATTGTTTCATGCAACCGCACCATAATGAGATATTTCAAACATTTGCTGCACCATGAAAAAGGAGCATGGTGAATGTAGCCGTGTGAATTTTACCACTTCATCTTTCTGCATGCATGTGGTCTTATATATATATATATATATATATATATATATATATATATATATATATATATATATGCCTCAAATATTCACTTCTGGCACTTGAAACATAAGCCGGATCATTGCATTGAATACAATGGCGTGATAACAAGCATCAATTTGAATTATGAAGACCAAAGGTAACTGCAAGACCAAACGTTGCGCACAGTAGCGCACGACGTACTGTTAAGTCAGGTAGGTTTAGTATTGCGTAAGGATTCGTTCCGATATGGTGCCCATTGCAGAAACGACAAACGATGCGTACTTACCCGGCAGGACATGAGGATGCCGACGGCCAGAATGTTGAGGATAAGAAGAGTTGCTAAGAAGGCCGCACTTGCTAACACCACAAGTTTGCTTATTGCCAATATTCCATAAATGAATGAAAGAACTAGAAGAACTGTTAAAAGTCCGACTGCTACTATATTCAGGAAGGCGGAGTCCACTTGCTTCTCATTTTCGAACAGCGGCAGGTGAGTATACGTGTGAAGACACTTGGTGGTATAGTACTCGGTAGCAGCCTGCAAAACCACCCAAAAGCAGAACGACCCGTAGAATAAGGTCCGGAACCAGCACGGCGGGGCCGGCGGTTGGTGAATTCGAGTGGTCACCGACGTGTTCCGACGCATGACTCCCAATACTGATCACCTGCTTCGCGCAGCACACCACGTTCCACCCGTCGGGTCACATTGCGATCGCGCCCGGCGCGGCACAACCTTACGGCACTACAGGGATTTGTCACTGGCCGCCACCACACCACCCGACAACATGTTTGTCGACAACTAGCTGAGGAAAGAAGTTTCTGGCGTCCGGTTCACGTGCTCGATTCTGCACAGCTCTCCCGGCAGCCGGCCCGCGTCTGGGTTTGGGCGCCTCCGGCAGGCTTCTAACGGAGCGAAGCGAGCGCCACCGGCACGGCGCAGCCGCAGCCGCCGCCGCCGGGCCGGCGCGGGACCGGGCTTTTTACTTCAGCTTCTGATCGTCGGTGAACCTGTGACGTCAGGCTGCTTGTACAGCGCAAGGCCAGCGCGCTGCAGTTCAGCCAACTTTTGCGCCAGTGGACAGCACCATTTATTTGGATAGATTGCATCGTCTATCCAAGACTCACAACTGAATGGGGTGATTTTATTATGATTACACGGCTAAGACGTGATTGCGCCCGATGCGACAGAATCAAGAAACGAGACGACAACCCGATGCCTGGGGCATTTACAAAGTTGGATAAATCCCTTCATTTTTCGTGTCTGCGCACTATGCAGCGCTTTCTGTCCTAGATCGACTCGTCCAGTTAACTCGTCCATGGGCTTGCGTGTACCACATAACATGGCACGTGACCGTCTATTTTAGCCGGTCAGACTGGCCCATCGGCCCTCAGGACTGATGTTGTCGGGTCGAAGCCGAGTTATCGACGTCGGTCGATTAGGTCCTGCATCGATTACACTGGGCTGACATTGTAATGATCAAATCCTTTCATCTCGCCGACGGAGCCACGAGCTACCATGAAGGATTCCTAGGAGATGAAAAAACAGCTGACGCGATGCCTGCGGCGATCTGTACCGGTCCATGCCTGGAAGACTGTGCGGCGACATGTTTTGCCCCTGGATACACCAGAATGACGCCAGTCACAACCCCGATTGAGCTGCCTACTCTTGACTAAGGCCATGTGATTGTGCTACCAGAATTTGTGTCGCCTGGGTATACTATGAACGCTCCTGTAATAATAAGCGTCTGATGGGAGACGGCGACTAGTTTTGACGGCAGTGTTGCCAGCGGGCCTATGGCAAGTGGAAATTTGTCACGGGTATGTCGCAGTGATCCTATTGATAAAGTCGTAATACAACCTAGGCGTTAATCTTGCACAGTACCACATCGATATCGTCAAGAGTATTGTGTTACCTGATTACTAATGCTGTCAATTGCGCTCACTTGCCCCGTCCTCCGACAGGGATACCTCGCTTGGTGACGTTCCGTGTAACCAACGATCCTGAATAACCAAGCTGTTATTTTTTTATAGCTGCCAGTATAAGCTGCTGTTGTTTCATTGAATTATTTTGACAACCAGCCTTGTACATCACGTACTTAAGACTATGCGGGGATGACTTCACGTTTCTTCGGCGCGTTTCGGAGTGCGACTCCCCCATAGCTCGGGGCGGCCCACATTCGATGCTTTGGCCCCACAGTCGATGCTTTGGCGATGACAACAAACAGTGTCGCGGCAAATGGTTGCGCGGCCCCCCCGAAAAACAGCAAAAACGGCGTATTTAGAAAGTTTGCCGTAGTAAAGTGCAGCCAAACTTCAGGGAAGGGCATTGGGATAAAACGGACTTCACCGCGGTTCAAAAGTTGGGAGGGAGAGAGCATCGATGCAGACCGGTGTGATGAGGGAAAGCACTGGTGCGTGACAAAGTCCTACGTTTCTACCCATCCTCTTGCGTTCCCTACTTTTGCTCGAAACAAACGCAAATTCGCTGTCCGCACGAAGGTCTATGCCGTACAGGACAGAAAACTCTCGCCTATATACAATCTGTTGAAACATGTGGACAAGAATAAGAGTGGCACTTGCTTGAAGCGCCGACTCCGGCTCTGGCTCAGGTTTCCGCTCAATGTCTTAAGCCACCATTAGGCACGGTAGTGTCAGGTGTGTGAGGTGAGCGTGACAAATAACCGCACTTCTGTTCTATTTCCGTGAGCTAATAATGTTAAGATTATAAGGGCTATGGGGCTATGTGGAAGCATAAACAACTTGTAATCACGCGCTATCTCATATCGAGGGTCATCCATGCTACCAACGCTTGCTTGCTGACTTGGTATAATCGCAAGTACAGCATGAAACATCGGACATTGACAACATAACCAACGTTTTCCTGATGACGTCGTTTAATTAACACCTCCTGGTAGAATAAAGGTTGATAACTATTTGCGCAACTACTCTGAACTCATCTTGCTTGACTAACATAGTTTACCCATTACCTCCCAGTGTATCGAATGCCGGGTTTTGCCAGCATGTCTCTCGGCTCACAATGCCGAAGCAACTGACTTCAAAACTATCAATGGTCCCTTACTTTCTGAACCGTCCCTACGCCAATGTCTTATAGGTTGTGGAAAGGTGCTAATTCCGTAACCTTAACAAGGCTATGGAGGAACTAGTTGTGTATTCGGAAAACGATCGATATTCGTTTTGGGCCCGAAATAAAAGCACCGGTGCTACTAAACCATGGTCTTTTAGAGCCACATAACCTGATGAGTGGCATAATGGGAGAGCTCATCATGTTAGAAGCTGTGGTTCTGTCCCTCCCGTCACTTCCAAGCCTCAATGGTGTTGTATGAGTTATACGTTATTTTATAGTTATGAGTTATATGTTATATGAGTAGGGTGTACATGACATTCTAAAAACTTCCTTTCATAAATGATCATATTTTGCTTTCGCTTCATATCTTGTCCCTTTGGCTCGAAACTGAAAACTTCGCAAACTTCGAAATCGACTTGAGTGAATCCTTTAGACACTATTTGAGCACCGCCTTTTGAGCGAAAGCTCGCTTCGGACACTCCGTTCCCAGATTTGCGCCCGGCACACCTCCTTTGGGGCCCACACTAACATATCAAACGAGTAGGGCAACAGGACGCTAACAGGCGTCAGATGTAGTTTTTTGTCTTGCCCACCAGGTGACAAACGCAGGGTGATCAACTGCCGCCCAGAGACAGCAGCCTGCCACGTGGCCCGCAACAGCTGCGCAACAATGGCCAGGGCACGTGCGGTAGAGCTCGTGCAGCGATTCATAGGACGACACGCGCTTATCCATCCGCAGCCCACCAGCTTCAGTGCATGAAGGTGTGTGTTGAGTGTTCCTCGGTGAATTCAGCGGAGAAGGAGGGTGCCAGACCAGACGAGACCTATGCGACTACGGCCTCAAACGGGTAAGGATATTTTCCAGATCTTGCAGTGCGTGAAATGCGACTTGATTTTCGTTCGTCACCGGACAATAGCACCGCAATATTTCGGGGGGGAGGGGCGGCCTTGTGCGCCTACTCGAATCGGCTTATACAATTTGATATATCGAAATCCCCGTACATAAATGTCCGCTCACGAGTATTGGTAAGTGCAAAACTTCGTGCCCGGAAATGTTCGCACGCACATTTATTTGTTGACGCTAAATTTTGAGCAATTGATTCATGAGCACACGGCACGGCATCGCTTCCCCCAGGTACCCAATGCTATCTCGCTTTTCCATACTTGCAAGGCTTTGTACTGAGTCCCGTCGTGCACGTGATTGTTCGTGTCGAATTCTGCTTTAAACTTAAAACTTTACTCACCATTCCATGAGTAGGACGCTTGTTATGCAGCAACTTGACCAAGGCGGTACCATATGATAATGCGTTTGTGACCGTGAGGATAAACATGCACCTGAGGCAACCAGAACATGGATACCCGCCAGCTGGGTAAGGTGGTGGTCGCCGTAACAACTCGGGGAAAATGCGTTAGGACCCACTTATCCACTCCCAGTGCTTGCTGTCACTGGTTAATCGATGCACGGACCTGTGGTCAGCAAGCATAGGAACGGCTGCTCCTGGGGTTGCAGTGGTTCGGTCACTAATACTGGTTTGAATCCACTTACTCTCTGGATTCGTTTGTTAGCTCTCAGCGGTGAAGTTCCGAAAAATCAGTTGGCTGAGCAGGGGAAGTGCCTAAAATGCCCACAAAATACACAAGAAACTAGTTTTCCCCGAGTTTGGCGTACTGTCTTCTCAAAAAGGGGGGAGGGAGCTCAGGGAGCTTTTTCCTAACTGAAGGCACACCTGAAGGACTTAACTGAAGGCACACCCCTGGCGGCAAGTCTTTGTGCGCTGTACTAATTCTACAAAGATCTGACCCTGGCTTTTCTGGAGCTGGGTACCATTAACTGCCTTATGGTATTGCGAAAGACAAAGCGCAACAGTGGTCATGTTTCTGATGGCCGTGAGTTACATGGCCGACAGTTTCTGATCCCGATGGTTTGCTAGTGCCACGGAAAGTGAAATTCAAAAACATTGGTGAGTTCAATCCTCTGGAACGAAACGGTTCACCTGTGGGAGCTGCCAGACGACGCCTTTAAAAATTACCTCAAACAGCATACGGTGAACGGGTGCATGCTAATCGCATTTATAAAAAACGCCGGGAATGCCACAGTTTTGTGGAAGAAAAACTTTGGTGACATCGGCTCATAGTGAGGATGACGTCATGAGCTCACGCTCTTGCTGCTGGTGACATCATCATCATCATCACCACGTTATGCTCTTGCTGCGGGTTACGTCATCAGCTCATGCTCTTTCTGCAGGTGACGTCAAATCAAGGACTCACCAAACCTCAATGGCAGTTGACGGCCAGGAAACTGGCGTTTTGTGACGCTTTTCCTGGCGACATGACGCTGCGTAGTCGTGTGGTAATATCGGAATGTCCGATGGCACACAGATTTATTACATTAACGGCAAAAATGGGATCATTCCAGGCCTTAAAAGGTTATGACGGTTGTGAATATATCCTTGTAGGTTACAACCCATGCAGCGCAGTTCAAAACCCCGTTCAAAATATTCCCTTTTAGTGTCTGACAGATTGGCTACATCCCACGCCTTGGTCGAACGGGTATCGTGAGTCATGAGAAGGTTGCCATGGCCAACTGAGCTATGTGACCGCTTTCACTGTTTACCTGAGGTGGGCGACTGTTACACGCCATAGTCCCGCAAACGCCGATTCTCACATCTTGGAACAGCTTTAGCGCTATTGACGCTTAGCTTTCTTCCAATCTGTGAAGCAAGTGTTGTTGTTCAGTCTTTGGATTGCCTGCATATCTGGTTTTCAGCATGTCCCCTACTCCGAGAAAGGGGACCAGATTCCCGGCGTGCCCCCAATTTGTTACCGCACCCGAACCATCAGGCCCGCTCGATCTGACATTGGTGGGCACTTTATGAACGAGGTAAGCCTTGCTGATAGCTGGAAACTTGGTCAGTCTGATTTGGTCTCGGATCTGCCTGCGAAAAAAACTCACGCCTGGCTCAAACATGTGCAGAAAATTGCTGCAGTTAACGCGAGCAGTAGGAATGATAATTTAGCCTTAATTGTAGGACACATAACCACAATCTGTGAAAAAGCATAGTTGTATCAGTTGTAATTAGGGGCGAATCTACAAGGGACCATGGGGACATACTCTCCCCTTTTGAAACACGATACGATTTTGGGGTACCACAGGGCACCACAATATTATGGTGGCGTAGCACCGAAGCCTCCATTTCGCGGTCTCATAACTTTTTTAACGAGCAAAAAAACCTTCATGTTGGACCCTGTGACTTTCATTTTCAAGGGACATGAGATCCAACAGTGCACCGCAAGGACACTAAAACCACCGTTTTTAAGGGGCATCGAATTCCAGGGACATCACATTGCTCGCTGCTTTCTGATGACGAACACTGAAGACTCCTAGGGCGGACGCCAAGCTCCAGGGAGGCGCCACAATGCCCGGTGAGTGGTGCACTCCCCCCCCCCCCCCGCTCCCCTCCCACCTCCGTTGCGAAATCATGAACTCGTTCTTGACTGCAGTGGCTTATTAACATACTAGCCCACAGGAGCACATGCGCTACTTAGCGATTCCTCCACATGTGGTAATGTGTGCGGGAATAAATGTCCGATAATACAAGATCAGAGGCAGACATGTAATGGTCAATAATCGAGAACATGCGGTCTTCTTTTGCGCCATTCAAAATACCTCGTGCATGCAGCGCGCAAAGCTGGGTTGGTAGTGACACCCGCAATGCAAAATGCTGTATCCGCCCCTGCCTGGTTGAAACGCTGTTTAGTCAAAGACGCAACATGAGAACACATGCCGTTCTATTATCACATGTGAGATGTCACGGTATATCACCATTTCAGTGTCATCAGTGTCCGCAGTGAGTCGTATGGATGTACCGCATATCTTCTCACCACATGCAAGCTATGTTTCCATACGAATTTCAATTTATTTGTAGACACGCACAGAGATGTGCCAACTGCGAAATACACCAAAGACATGACCTCCACCACTGGAACAGGGCGTGGGGAGCCCCTAAACTTGTGCAAATTTAGTATTGGGCCCATGGCATTGCATGCAACGGAACGCTTTTAAAAGCCTCGGCATCCCCACCCGAACTCTTGCCTCATGGCGAGGCTCCGAGTACGGTGAATGATGAGAAAAGACGTGCGACATGAAGAATTGCAGACTCGAAAAATGCGCTGAGCAGAGCGGTGCATACAAACGAGGTGCATGCACATGGATGCACACAGGATAGAAATGTCATGCCAAGAAGTGCACCCGTAGGTACATGCGGTGCTGAGAAGGGAGTTAAACTATGAATGCTATCAGACGGAGGGTATGCTCACCAATTGGAGGGGGGGGGGGGGCGGGTAACTGCGGATAATGACAAACTTATGCACATACGGAGCTTTGTGACAGAGTTATTTCTCCTGCACGGAGTTCTGCGCTTGTGATGCATCCGGAGATGCTGACTCCAGCATAAATAAACGCGATGCCAAGTTTAGAATGATATAAATGCGATGAGAAGTTCTGCGTCATACACGCCATTTCCCCAAAGCACCTAAAAGTAACATGAATATTTATTTGCATCCAGGGGTGTCAACTGTTGTAAATTATTGGTGGAGGGGCGAGCTTAGGGCCCGACAATCTTCCCTTTTTTCATCGGATGTAGCCCACTTTATTTTGATTAAACACAATAAATTACTTTTTATGAATTACGCCTTGTATGATTTATAAAAAAATATTTTATTTAAGCAGCGTAGAAGCCATTCAGGGTTGGATTCAGGGATAAGCTACTGGACGCACGCGTCTCTTCTGGTCGGCACGTGAAAGCGCCCCTTTAGAGGCCACCTTAGGGCGCTGATGGCACTCTTCTATGGCGGTCATGAGGGGCGACGCGCATTTTGGCTGTGGGGGACAGGGTCGGGGACGGGTTGAGCCATGAAGGATTTCATCCCCATATTCCAGAGCTTTTTACTTTAACCTCACAAGCCATCGCGTGTCTCACGGCGCTAGGTATGTGAAGTTTATTGCATCGTTTATCGGCTCAGCTGTTACGATTTGTATCTTGTGAAAGCAACCATGACTGGTATGAGACTGGTGCGAGGCGTCACTTCGCAGAAAGGTCAAAGAAGATAATCTCTGTGTTTTTATCATCTTTTGCCCACATGTTGTGTGGTATTCCAGCCTAAAACATGGGGGCCAAGCCAATATTGGGGGGTGGGGGGGGGGCAACTCACCATTAGGGGAGGCAGAACCCCTACAAAAGAATAAAAATCATCACCCATGTTTGCACCATGTGGACGTTGGATGTGTTTTTTGGGGGACTATGAGTTTGCGACTGCTCTGCCGACATCAAGTAACGTACATTGCACCAGCAGGTACTGGTTAAACGATGCTATCAAGCAGTCAGCGGTTTAGTTGCCAACACATGCATTGTTTGACAATATAACAATGCTTGCTTGATAACGCCGCTTAACTAATGCCTCATGGTGTGTGGAAGGTCGATAATGGCATATTAACGTCGTTCGAAGGAACATAATTTCGAAACACATCATGCCGACCAACCAGGGGCTCATTGGCTTCCTTACCTCGATCTTATTATTTTTGAGTAGTCCGATAATTAGCTTGATCGGGGCGACCATACACCATTACAGGAACAGGCATGTACAAGAGACCGCGGCTATCATGGCCCCCGGCACTGTTCCCGGAATTTTATTAAAAATATTATATTAACGCCACGGGCGATTAATCGCGGAGGGAGCTGACATACAGCTTGGGTTTTCCTTCTGGACGCTTTCTGAGAGCCTCCTGAGGCCGCTGTTCAGCTGCATGTGAGCCTCGGGAGGCCAGCATGAAAACGTTATTACATTTGTAAGAACTCTGTTCGGAAGCTCTAAGGCCTGTAGGACCAATCATATTGAAGCCCCGTGGCCCTGAGCCTGGATTATTAGGCTAAGGCAGAAGTTGTGCCCAGCCGATTGGCGAATTCCACGCATTCCTCGGATCCCAGTGAGCACACTCCATTTGGATTGTCGATTACCCTTTATACGGACGGGGCCGGTTTACGTAACGTCAAAATCCAGTCATCCCATACACGCCCTTACGATCGCTGTGATCGCATGCCTGAGCTTCGCCTCTGCCGCGCCCTTTGCCTCCCCCGTAACCCCGCCCCATAGCAACGCGGCGATCAGCTGCTGCGGAGGCGGTGTGCGTCCGCGGCTAAGCGATGCGCAGTCGGTCCTTGAACGTAACAGGTTGGGTGCGCGTCGCTGGTTGCCGTCTCCCATGTAGAAACACTTTTATGTAAATAGAAGGATTCTATCAGTTCTTAGTTCTTCTCAAAGCTGATTGAGGATGCCTGATCATTAGAAGACAGCTGTGAAAGGTAAGTCAACCGTAGTAACGAGCAGGGGCGCCGCCAGAACCTTGAAAAAGGGGGAACTACATGATTGACAAAGAGGTGTTCTTCAAGAAGGTTACATTTTATAGAACATACATCTCCACCATGAGCATTTCACTCGCAGCACGCGACGAACGCAATCAGCTCGCGTTAGCAGCATTGCCCAGCTTTGAAATCATACGACCCAAACGATGTCTTTAGCACCAAAGGTAATGAGGGCACAATTATCATCATCAATTTTGTGATTTTCGCCATCGCTGCTCGCAATGCTAGTATGGTAGATTGCTTATCATTTTCACCAAATTACCATCCGACTTTATTATGATTTCCGCACGAAGCCAGCAATTTTATTTATAACAGGCGGCAGAGGATTAACAGGCTGCACTAAAAAGGTGCCATGATCACCAAATCATGGATGTGCGAGCAACCAAGAAAAATATCCCAGTTTTCACATTCATGCATGGGCGTAAGGACAAGGGGACCATGCCCCCCCCCCCACTTTTCAAGGTGGAGGGGCCAGCAATGTTATCTTGATCCCCACTTTTCAGATTAAGGTTGCATTTGGTTTACTTTTGTACTAAATTAAACATGCATGCCGATTTACCTAGTTCACCAGCCATTTCCCTTAACATGCGTCATCTTTTTCGTTTGCTCATTGACCATCGCTTAGTGGCACAGCCGCAGGGCCGACGCCGCGTGGCCTATGGACAATGCAACGCCGGGCGTCGAGGCTGTTATTGCTATGGCTTGCGAGCATGCATGTTCAGCACCATATTACGTAGTTTTCTTATCTTTGACAGAATCTCGAGCATTTTAAGACGAACGTGGGTTAGCCATGTTAATAAAGTTAGGAACCCTATTTCATCTACGATCTACAGTCAGGGAGAACTCAATATCTCTGAGGAGCACAGAAAAACACGGAACTGGAACTGGAGTCTATGTGACAGCATCGGACTACCTGCGGTGATCAGGGATGTTGTTGCGTCAATGAGAGTTCCTGTGCTGATCCCGCCCCGTGCCACCAGAATGGTAGCCAGAAGACACTTCGCGATGGGACGGAATGGCCCTTCAGCCCTTGACCGGAAACGGTAATGTACCCTTGGTGTTCTACTCAAGAGGCCCCTTGCCCGGAAGGAAATAAGGGGTCTCATTATTGTTGAGTAGAGTGGGGCTCTCATTATCTTTGAAAAGCGCGGGTCGAAATGAATTACAAAAATGCGCAAGATCATGCCAGGTTTGCCTGAGAATGTTCATTTTTTCAGAATGTATTGAAACAAATTATATCAAAAAGCTTGAACATACCCGCCCGCAAACTCGAGGGCAAGGACAAAGATGGTCTGGGTTGCAACTTGCGTAAAACTGAAAAGTTTCGGCCACTGCAAGTGCCACCAGGTGTCGGGCGCCCTTTTAATTCGTCTTCTGGACAGATAAATAGCTGCAAAAACACGAAAAATGGAGATTTTACTTTCACTTTTCCAGTTCAACCACTAGATTCCAGCCCCATTTCGGGGCCTTACGCGCCAATCCGTTTTTTCTATCAGTCTAAAAATTGCACACGTGAAGTATGCGCTCAGACTGCCTTCTAAATACGAGACCTGATATGAAGCGTCCAAGGATACTTTTTCAGAAGCGTCGTCATTTTCGTCCACCCGTTGGACACAACCTAATATTAGCTGCTGGGCCGATGCTGCGCGGCCTACGGAGCCTGGGATCGACGCTTGTGTTTCCAAAATTTTCAAGTGGGCATGCTCAAAACTACATGGCATAAGTTGTATAACTAGTTGATTTAGGTATATAAAGGTAATAAATTCAGAAGCGTCATCATTTTCGCCCACCAATGAGCCACGACTAAATATTTTAGCTACTGGGCGAACGCTCCGCGGACTGAATACTGGATCGCCTGGTGTCGAGGTTTTTGTTGCTAAGGTTTGTGAGCGCGCATGTTAAAGAACACGTCACATAAATTGTATCACCGATTGATTCTGAGTGAATGGTGATCATTTTCAAACAAACGGGGATTGGCCACGTTTATATTCATTGTTGACCACTCGATCTGCAATCAAATTTTCATCTTCAAATTTGGATCAAACAAATCGGTTTATTATCTTCGTGACATCTTCAATGTCTGTAGAGCCCAGAAAAAAATTGACAAAGCTTCTGAATTCTAACAGTTTAGAAAGAGTCAACTAAACATTGTGAATTAAGAGCGCCGGTGATTTCTTCCATGCAGTCGTTCAACGCCTGATTTCTGCAGCTGATTGATCTCAAAATGCGAACAGAATTGAGCTCACGGTAGCTCCTGGTTTCTGTTCTGGTTACAAGGTAAAAATAACCATAAAACGAAGAAAACCGTGTCACTCGTTAACAAGTAAGCGATATCGGGGGATTTTGGGGGGGATCACCATAAGATGGGCTTTTGTCAACCTTGTGTTCCTCCTTGGCAAAGGTCTGGCTACGCTCGTGCCTACACGCAAAAGCAAATCAAGTCGTATGCGTTGCATGATGGGCAATGAAGTGTCCGTTGGGCCAATTAATACCTAAGGCAGACAGCTTCTCGGAGGCTATTTTTCTGTGATGATGTAGTGTGAAGGAAGATAATTCGGAAAAAGATACTGTTGCAGGTGTCTAACGCGTGTTTAATGCACCATGTAGAAGTAACGCTGACCCAAAAGTATGCAACAAAGCAGCGATACGATCAGTACGCCGTCAGTCATGCGCGAGACATCGGGCCCAGGGCAGTGACCACCGACGGCGGACAGGAGCAGGGCCCGGATAAGGAACATATGACAGGTGGGCCTTATTAGGTGGCTTGATTCTTAAAAGAGGATCTCCAGTTTTGTGGCTTTTGTTCATTGTTTCTAGCAGTATCAAGCTCCCGAACATGTTTCCGCCTAAAATGCTGCGACAGGTCTTATCTCATGAAAATCAGCCAGCGAAATGAAGGCGCATGACACTCTGTCCCGCTGTGAGCCATCGACCCACTTTCAAAATTATCACCAGCCTTTATCCAGGCCGTATTTTGGCCTCTACACTGCGGAGGCAGATGCTTCCTTAATGACCCAAAATACCCGCTCGTGGAATTTCGCCTTCCCAGGAAAGACAATGTTAAAATGGACGAATAGTGTAGGGAAGTCGGATAGCCTTATCTGCCAAATAACAAATGAGTCGAACAGGCAAGGTTGTGTATCAGTAATAAACAGCTCTAGATGCACATATAGCATAGCAGCCATGACATTCGAATAAAGAGCAATAACAACCTTCATTCCTGCCCCCCCCCCCCTCGGTCATCGGGCTGGCTTTCCAGAAAAAGTTCCTGAAGTACACCGTGAGCTTGGCCCCCGCTTTTTGAAACGTTCCTACGTCTATGCATTCATGTTCACATTTTCTTCTAGTGCGCTAAACGTCTGTACATTCCATTATTTTGATCATTTTGACCATCTGATAACTTTCATCTGATATCTTTCATTTGATCATCTGATATTTTTCGGCCCATCTTACACCGACCAGAAAGGCATGTGCCCTCTTACTTTAACATCGCACTTTTTGCACCTCATATATTAGATCAAGTTGTGAAACTTCAGCACATCGTGCTGGCAATGTTGGTTAAGATACATCACGTCGGTTCAATGGTTATGACTCATGCATTGCCGTGAGATGTTGCCATCATGTCGTGCGGACTGATTGCAGTGACGCCCTCTTAAAGTAGTACACCTGTTACATAATTATAATTGTCGAAACCTGGAAACCGCTCTGACATCCAAAGACGTACCTTACCGAGACAAAATGCCAACAGAAATCACAAGGAAATAAGCCGAGCCCCGGAAACCGAAGAACGGAACCAGGCCAGCGTTTTCGGTACAGTACATATACGTTTACTGGCGCCGTGCACCTCATACACGAGTCCGGACAATGTGATTCACACTTACTAGAAATAAAGACACCGTGCTGACAATGTCGGCTGAGCTATAACACTTCGGTTCAATGAATATGACTCATGCTTTGCCGTGAGATGTTGCCATCATGTCGTGCGGACGGACTGTAGTAGCACCCTCTTAAATTAGTGCACCTCGCACATAATTCAAACTGGCGGGACCTGAAAAGCGGATGTCATAATGTCATGTCAAAGCATAGTCGTATTTGAATGTCAAAGTAGATTTCAGGTCTCGCCAATTGGAGTTAGACAAGAAGTGCACTACTTTAAGAAGGTGCTACTACAATCCGTCCGCACGATATGACAGCAGCATTTCACTACAATGCATGAGTCATATTCATTAAACCAAAGTGTTGTAGCTCAAGCGACATTGTTGGCACGATGTGTTTATTTCTAGTAAGAATGAATCACATTATTCGAACTCGTGTTTGAGGTGCACGGCGGCAGTAAACGTATATGTACCGTACCGGAAGAAATGGCTTTACTTCGGTCTTCCGTTTCCGGGGATTGGCTTATTTCCTCAGGATTAATGTTGCCATTTTACCTCGGTAAAGTATGTCTTTAGATGTCAGGGCGGTTTTCAGATCTCACCAATTGTAGTAATACAAGAGGTGCACTACTTTAAGAGGGTGCTTCTGCAGTTCGCCCTCACATGATGACAGCATCTCGCGGCAAAGGATGGGTCATGATCATTTAACCGAAGTGTTGTAGCTCGTCTAAAATATGAGCTGATTTCATCATCTGATGCTTGTTTCAACATCTCGGGATTTTTAGGGCGCATGGACTGCTGTAGGTTATGTTTCAACATCTTCAAATGTTGAACATTGCCTTTAATCAACCTTCTGTAAATAGCTTCTAGCATTTACAGCCTTGTGAAATTTGGATAATTGATATAGCCTAGCTATTCCAAAAACGGTTATCACGAAAACCCAGCTGGTCCAGGTCATCTAAGGTCTCGATTGAAGCTGCCACATCAAATATGCTCGACAGTCTTCATTCGTGGTTGCTTCCGTGCTTAAGAGTTAATCAATCACGAAAAGATGCGAGAACAAATGAGGCCGTAGAAACCATGTCGCGGAGGAAGCAGAGAAATTTCTTCCATCACATGTAAAGTTTCGCTTTGGGTGATTTTGGGTGTTATCGTTCTAAGGGAGGGGCACCAAGTTGTTAGACGTTTGAAGCCTGTGGGTTTTTTGGTCGCCATTAAAACAGAACATGATTTCGCTGGCTGGGGCTGGAAGGTGGAGTACGCTTCCCAGGCAAGTACTGTCTGTGGTTAGATTCCGTTGCTTTTTGCAAAAGGCTGGGCGTCCGATGTGTCTTTGTCGTCAATATACCTTCTGGGCGCTAGAGGACATTCCTGATTTTGCTGAATCATTGGAAGGGCTTGTTGAAATTGGCAGTTTTGCGTCAACTAGCTATTTACAAGGCACGGCAATGCATTTCATTTCTATGGAATGCAAAGCTGCGCACACATTAGGCAAGCTCCACCGAATGATCAAGTTGTTCACTATAGCAGCGGAATCATTATTGCGAATGCACGAATTTGGGAAAATGAGGCGACGGGGTGGCTGACCTTGATATTGCGGGTGCTGCTTGAAGATCGTATGTTCTGTCGTCACAAACTAAGTACGACAGAGGCTTGCTGAAAAACAATGGAGGCCTGCTACAGACTGTCTAGTCATAAATTGATATATTGATCAGGCGCCTCGACTGTTATAGTCCATCACAGAAATCGCGACCATGCACAATGGGCGACATAACTGACTTCAAATCCTGAAATGCAACGACCTGGTCAGGCAATTGCGACAAACAGACATTGGCGAGCAGTGGCTGCCGAGCTCGTCAGAAATCCACGTTCCGACATGTCTCAGAACGAGAATTCTCAGTCTCAGAACGCGCCAGCCAACGTGGTCGAGTTCAGTATCTCGATCCAGTAGCCGTCCGGGTCCTTGACGAAGGCCACCGCCTTGACGAGGCCTTCGTTAGGTTTCTTGGCGAAGACGACGCCGAGCTGCTCGAGCCGCGCGCAGGCGGCGTCGACGTCGGGGACCTCCAGTGCGATGTGACCGAAGCCCTTGGCCGGCTCGCTGTTGCCGCTGTGGTAGCCGGCAAACTGCGGGTCAGACTCGGTGCCCCAGGCGTGGGCCAGCTCGACAACCGCCCGCCGGCTGAAGCACCAGCGCGTGCGCTCCGTCTCGTCCGACGGTATGTCGCCGCCCGACTCGTAGCCCATAAGGAAGAGCGACATCTTGGCCGCCGGCAGGTCCAGTCGCTTCAGCAGCCGCATGCCCAGCACGCGCGTGTAGAAGTCCAGCGAGGCCTTGGGGTCCTTGATGCGGTACATGGTGTGCTGCATGATAAAATCCTTGGTGGCCGGGTCGGGCTCCGAGCAGGCGGCCTTAACCTCTGCTTCGGTGAGAGGCATCACTGAACGCGTGTGGTCTGCAATGGGCCAGTTCAGATTGTAAATCACCCACATCACACAGTAGTATCATATTGCAGACGGAAGACACTTTTTTTGTAGTTTGAACCTAGATTTGGCCATCCGTAATCTTCACCATTGTCCCTCAGAACACATCTTGATCCATGCAGTGTTGGAGTAGGCATGCCACAACATGACATGCAGTCGCGCAATTCGGGGCGTGATTTCTGCATTTTTAAGGTGTTTTTTTTTACGCGAAGAGAATTAATTCCCAGAAGAATTCACAGGTCATGTTGAATGGCGTTAACTTTGACTGGCACCGTGCCCAGAGATGTCGTTAAATGTGCTTATATTTAATTGTTACATTGTACCATTGTACTCTTGTCCTGACAATGATCCGCATTGTATCGAAATATTATGCCCGTGAAGTTAGCAGTTTATTCATCGATTCATTTGGCGACGACTTCCGATTTCTCTGAAAGACGGTTTCAAGGTCAATTGTGGTATGAGAACGCCATACACGACCCTGGTTTTGAAATATCATGTAACCTTCACGGTCACAAGCTGGGCCAAATAACTGGGAACTCGATTTCACCAAAAAATTACCGGCTGATTTTCAACTCGCAAATGTCAAAATATTCACCCCAGAAAGAACTAGCGTCCGTCTAATAGTTCTGACCTCTCAAAGTCACCCTTCAAGGTCAAACGCGGGCTCAAAAGACTGCGAACTCTATACCACCCAAAAATTACAAATTACAAAAATTGCTTACAAACGTCAGAATATTCACCACAAAAAGAACTAGCGCCCGTCTAAAACCCTTGACCTTTCAAGGTCACTCTTTATGGTCGAACGCGGGCTTAAAGGACGGGGAACTTCATATTAACCAAAAATTACCGGCCGATTTTTAACTTACCGGGTTCAAAACATTCACCACAAAAAGAGCCAGCATCCGTCAAAAAATCTTGACCTCTCAAGGTCACCATTCAAGGGTATACGCGGCCTCGAAGGACAGGGGACTCCATATCACCCAAAGAACAACCCGAATATCACCATGCAGGTTGACCTTAAAAAGCATGAGTGACTACCGCTGGATCTAACCCATGTTTATTTTGTAGCGCTTAACGAGTCGAAATAGGATGGTAATTTGCAAGTGATCTTGAGTTCTCCGTCCCTTGAGTCCGCGTTTTACCTTCAAGGTTGACATTGAAAGGTCAGGACATTTTGACGGACGTTAGCTCATGCGCCTGTGATTATTTTGATGCTTGTAGTTTTCAAATCGGCCAGTACTTTAAGGGTGATTTAGAGTTCCCGTCCTTTCAGCCCGCCTTTGACACTGAAGTATGACGTTGAGAGGCCAGGATTTTTTGACTGACGCTAGCTCTTTCTACAGTGAATAGTCCTGTGTTTGTAAGTTAAAAAGCGGCCGGTATTTTTTGGGTGATATGGGGTTCCCCGTCCTTTGAGCCTGCGTTTGACCTTGAAGAATGACCTTGAAAGGCCAGGACTTTTTCACGGACGCCTCATCTTTTTGTGGCAAATGTCATAATGCATGCAAGGTTAAAACTGGCCTGTGATTTTGGGTGATATGGAGTTCCCCGTGCTTCGAGACAGCGTTTGACCTTGAAGGGTGACCTTCAGAGGTCAGGACTTTTTGATGGGCGCTAGCTCTTTTTGTGGTGAGTATTTTGATGTTTATAAATTACAACTCGATCATTAATTTTTTGGTGATGTGGAGTTCCCCGTCCTTTGAGCCCGCGTTTGACCTTACAGCGTGACCTTGAGGATTGAGGATTTTTGAGGGACGCTAGTTCCTTCTGTAGGAAATATTCTGTTGTTTCTAAGTTTGAAATAGGCCAATAACTTTTGGGGGATACGAAGTTCCCCGTCCTTCGAGCCTGCGTTTAACCTTGAAGGGGACCTTCGTAGGTCAGGACTTTTTGACGAACGGTAGCTCTTTTGTGATGAATATTCTGATATTTGCGAGTTAAAAAATGTCTGGTAATTTTTGGGTGATAGAGTTTCCCGTCCTTTGAGCCCACGTATGACCTTGAAGGGCGACCTTCAGAGATCAGGACTTGATGTCGGATGACTGGTGATGACTGGTGACTCTTTCTGGTGACTATTTTTATGTCCTTAAGTTTAAAGTCAGCCGGTAATTTTGGGTGACATGGAGTTCCCGTTCTTGGAGCCCGCGTTTGACCTTGAAGAGTGGCCTTGAGAGGTCAGAACTTTTTGACGGACGTTAGCTCTCTGTGGTGAATGTTTTGATCTTTGTAAGTTAAAAATTGGCGGTAATTTTTGGGTGATATGAAGTTCCCCATCCTTGGAGCCCGCGTTTGACCTTGAAGGAGGTCAGGAGACGGGACAGGAGACTTGAAGAGGTCAGGACTTTTTGACGGACGCTAGCTCTTTCTGTGGTTAATGTTCTGATGTTTGTAAGCTGAAAATCGGCCGGTAATTTTTGGTTGATATGAAGTTCCCCGTCCTTTGAGCCCGCGTTTGACCTTGAAGGATGGCCTTGAGAGGTCAGGACTTTTTGATGGACGCTAGTCTTTCTGTGGTGAATGTTCTGCTCTTTGTAAAACAAAAATCGGCCGGTAATTTTTGAATGATGTGGAGTTCCCTGTCCTTTTAGTCCGTGTTTGACCTTGAAGGGTGACCTTAAGGGGTCAGTATTTTTTAATGGACGCTAGTTCTTTCTGTGGTGAATATTCTGACAGCTGCACGTTGAAAATCTGCTGGAAATGTTTTGGTTATATCGAGTTCCCCGTCTTTTGACCCAGGTTTTGACCTTGAAGGTCACATGATATTGCAAAATAAGGGTCATTTTTGGTGGTCTCATGCCACAATTGACCCTGCAACCATTTTTCGTGGAAAACGGAACTCGTCGCTGAAAAAATCACTGAATAAATCGCTACCATCACGGACATCAAAACGTTGACGAATTGGCAAAATGATATCGACTGCTCTCCTTACCGAGCTTTCGCTGCTCGTGTGTTGTGTATTTCGTAGATTGCGTATGTCAAACGACGTGCATGGCAGTAGCACATATGCATGTCGTGAGACACGCAGTCTACGAAATACACAACACACATGCACGATTACAGGGCATGTGCAATACAACATGGACGACTGGAACACACATTTCCTCATGCGACTTAATTGGTAAAAGTTGGATGCTACATGCACGCGAGAAGGCAATGAAACCACTTTCACTCAGACACGATGGAATTCAAATCAATAATGAACGTGAGTATTTGCCACGTCAAAAAATTTCCCTAAATCTTGCGTGAGACGGGGATGGGTATACTTACTGTGAGTGCCTCGTATCCAACGGAGTGGCCGCGTGCGCCCGCCCCTGCCTCGCGTAGTAGCAGGAGCGGCCCCTAGAGGCGCTCCCGTCACTAGCCCAGGCGTCCTCTCCCCCCGGCGTTCCGCGCCCGTCCGTGCGGCGCGTGTGGCCGGCGCTCCACAGCGCACGCACGACCTTGGAAGTCCGCGCATGGCGGGGCCCGGGTTCACCTGTGTTCGACTGATGCGGGTCACGACCTGTGGCCGTGCTTGACCGCGGTGCTCGGCGGAAACAACCTGCAGCAACAGCGCGGGACATACTACACTGATACAAATCGATATGGCGCGATCACGATAACCCGACGTTGTGTGGTCAGTTTTATTGGCGAAGGGCTTTTCGAGCGCGCCTGTTGATGTTCTTCTATCGTGTTTTGGAGAGCATCTGGCTTGTAGATAAATGCCTGGCCGGATAAGCGTTATGTTATGAGCTGATCAGCGTGATTGACGTGATGCAGTCCCGCGTCGCACTTGATCTCGCAAGTGTTCGCTGTGGACTGCACTGAGAGTGCCACGCCTGAACCGCCGGCATCCTGCCGCTTCTTGAAGAGGTCCATGCTACCGACCATTTACTAGGCAGCTACATTCTGTTCCAACTTAGTCCGCTGTCTGTGGCCGAGGTGGAGCTGTTTCCGCCGGATGGGCCTCGACCTATCGGTCATGCGCGCATTGGCGGTACCAGCCGTCGACAGGGCAGGCGCACCGACAGGGCCGTCGACAGGGCAGGCGCACCGACAGGGCCGTCGACAGGGCAGGCGCACCGATCGCCGGGGCGGCCTGGCCGTCGAATTCAGCTGCGCCGCGTTCAAGTGCGAGCCACCGACACGATCCAGTTCTGCCGGCATTTTGACGGCGTCCTCATCGAAGGTCCGTGGCCGCTCCGCCACACCTGAGCCCGCCCGTGCGGACCGAGCAGATCGCCATGCGCGTGTGCCGGCCGGGCGCTGGGGACGCGGACGTCACGGCCCAGCGCCGCGATACGCCGGACGCGCAGCGGTCCCATAGCAGGCCACGTGGCCCGCCGTGGGCAGGCGTAGCCGCTACGGACGGACAGCCGCGCCCCTCAGCGTGCCATCATGGGATGTTTCAACACGTCCGGAAGAAGCAGCAAACTCACCGCGTGTCAGCGGGATGTGACGTCACTGGTTCCCAACATCGATACTGTGTGCAAGCCCCTTCGAAGGAACAGCTGCCTTGTGCCTGGCTGCACTCACAGAGTTGGCAGCGTGGGCAGCCGAGCCCTGTTCTTGCCGGGTGATGACGTCACGACGTGGGGGTCGGGGGTCGATCGATCGAAGGTCGGAGGCAGTGTGGCCATAACAACCGGGGAAACAACGTAGACGTGGACCCTACGGCCGCGGAGTCTCATTTTGGGTCTGAGCTTTCCGGCTGCAAGCAAAGTGGCATGACAACTGTGAACAACAGGGCTTGAGATGAGACTGGCCTCGGCTTTAGCTTCGGTTTTGCGAAGTCGCAGTTTTGATGTTCCGGTTTCGGATTTTGCTTCTACTGAGAAACATTTGCCAAGGCTTCGGCTTCAACTTCGGCTTCGAACAAGCTTTGGACAATGACTGTGGCTTTGGCTCCGCACCATCTCCAGATTGGGCTTTGTCATGGCGATTTTTCACTTGCGGCTTTTCACAAATCAGGCTTGGCCTGCATGCCGCCTCCTTATGTCATACAACTTCTTAAGCTGCGACGGATACACGGCTGAGAGACCAAACCGACTGGCCATTCTCAGGATCGGTTAACATCTGAGGACGTCCAGAGAACTCACTTCCCGAAGCATCGTGTACATACAAACATGAGACGAGAACAATGGTCCAAAACAATCTGCTCTCTGCTGTACTAACACATCGCGCCAATAATGCCACAGGCTGCTTGTGTAGAGGGCTTCACAGTCTGGTCCCAAGAAGTTTATGCAAACGCAGGAATGGTTTGGTTCCGCAAAACAATTTGTGCACTAGATGGAGCCTCGGTTTAGGCCTCGCGATGCGGGACTGATGCTTCGTGCTTCCCGAGTGCGAAACCGCTGGCCTCGGTTTGGCTTGTCGTATTTTCATGCCATCGTTCTGGTTTCGAATTCCGCTTCGAATCCAGAAGCCTGGCTTTGTCCCCATGCCTGACGAAGAAACATCAGCATCCCTCTAGGGTATGTATATTGGCCAGGAAGAACAGACGGCATCAGAGAAGGCATCAAAGACCTCGAGCACAAAGTCGAGCGGCGTGTCCGTCCGGAAGCGCCAACCTACGCATTGGCTGACCTGAAGATAGACCTGCCATCAGTGAGCCGCCAAGGCAGTCCTGCTACTTCGCGACATCGTCTGCGACTTCGGCTTGGCACAGCTGGTCCAAGTGCCGATGTGTTGCCGCGGTGACCAGGGACGGCCATCAATGGACGACGCCGTGTTTAATCGGTCTCGCATTCGCGCTCGGTGCTGATCAAGGCTCCGAGGTAGTGGTGGAGGAGCACGACATCAGCGATCTCAAATGTGTGGCATTAAACCTACTCGCATGACATCAGGAAGGCGACAAACTCATCATTTTCCAATGCGCTCGTCACCTTTTTGGTTGTTGTTTTGGTCACTTTCCTTTGATGCTTTCAGACTTCAGTTTCTGCTTGAGGAGTGGAGTGTTCTTTATGCTGCAAACAACATCGACTCAAAATGGCAGGAGTGGTCCACCAGCGGCTAAAACAAGGTCGTAAAACAAGTCTTAAAACAAGGTAGTCGACACCCATTGTCCTTTCATCACCAGACCCGTCGAAGCTGAGCCCGTGGATTCGCAATAAACCTGGCCTGCGAGCTGCGGCACTCCGAAGAGACTGGGCGCGGGGTAGGGCTGGCCGGTCCGGGTCACCAGCAGACCAGGAAACCTACCACGACCTGTGGCTCTGCTCGGGCCAGTAACTGACAGCACGGGGGCACATTTAAACGCATTCCTGGAGGGGCGATAATAATTAGGTATTCTAAGGAACATTTCGACTACCGGGCCATTTTGCGCTCTCACATTCGTGGAGGATTCGAACAGAACATGGCCTTACAGGATAAACAGTAATGCGGTTAAACGGTCAGGCAGGTCAACCATTAGGGCACCTGCTACAGAAAAAGTTGTCAGCATGCTCAGCACACCGCAAGCCGTCAAATAGGAATCAGCCAGTCTTTGCTGACGAGTAAAGCCCTCAATTCTCGATCACTGCAAGCCGCATAGGCGCCACCGTGCGTCAGCACCCCGAACTACGCGCCTGCAGCGCCGCCGCCACCCAGCCGCCGCCACCCCGTGCGACGGGGTGCGGCGATGACTGCAGCTTGCAACGCTGCCCACGCTCCTCCATTGGACCTGTGATGTGGTCAGAGCAGGGCCGGCAGCGATGACGGTGTGCCATTACACCTGTAATTTTCTCCGTCATTGGAACCCATAGCCATCTCTTGCGCGTCATCAATTGTTGTTTTGTTTCTGGAACCGGGTCTGGTGGCTTAGCAACGACCATGGTCGTACCTGTTCGGAAAAGGGACCCACTGATAATCCGCGTAGCTGCAGGTCCATGCCTCATATGAGCGGTGAGTCAAAACTGCGCGAAAGTTGGCACGTGCCAGCTCTTATCTTGTGGGTCAGCAGTCATCTCTTGACTGACTGTTGTTACTGACTGACTGATGTTAAAGTCAGAATTATTCCTCCAGAGCCTTGGCTTGATGATGTCTTACCCATCTCCATGCTGGGTGATAAGTTTTTGAGACCGTTTACATCGTCCTCAACAGCAGCTATTTCTGGATCACCCGTCGTAACTCGTGAAGTTCCGAGGACATGGGAAGCTTTACTTAGCCTTCGGAAGTAGGCCATCAGCGCAGCTTCCCTGCGTTTTAACCATGGGGAGCTTCCGATCACCGCACGTGCTTTCACGGCCCACTACCACGGCCCGGTCGGGGCTCAGTATTGCCCCGACTGGCGGCCGCTCGGCCGGCTGGTGCTTTGTTGATGGGGAATGAGCACGGTCAGGTCACGAGCCGGCGGCGGTCAGCAGCACACGTGGTACCGAGCAGGGCGCAGAGGAGGCGCAGCCTTCAGGCGGGACAATGTGCGTACGCGTCACGCCTTGGATCGCGGGCACCGGGTGACGGGTCTGAGCAAACAGGGGTCAGATCAGATCAGTAGGGGCCAGAACAGGTCAAGGGGGTCAGAACGGGCCAACAGTGGGCAGAACAGGTTGACGGGGTAGCATAGGTTAATAGGGGGAGAACAGATCAACAGGGGACAGAAAAGGTAAGCGGGAGGCAGACAGAGCAGAACGGAGCTGACGGGTGACCTCGCAGATTCAGTGCGCCGTCCGGTCTAGGGTGCATCGGCTCCCTTGCGTTGAGTTTGTGCTAAATTCACGCGCCATGCGTGATTCCATCCAGCATGTATTGACATTGTATGAATCTGGACGGAACAATGCCTTGGGAAGTATTTGTTATTTTATGACCTGCCTGCAGTTCCTTTGTACATGAGCTTACCGTATTGTTGACGAATAGTAGCTTCTCTGCAAGCCGGATCCTGAGAAAGAAGCCGGAGATAGGAAGAACTTCCCCCAACAAAGTGTGTCAAAGACGGAACTAAAGTAAATCGTTAATGTCGCTTTGACGTGGCGCATTGTCGCCGTCGACTTAGCACTTCATCCCAGGTTGGCTTCTATGCTCACAAGTCATTTCAGTAGCGATCTGTTACTGGTATCGACTTCTGCCCACTGTGTTTGCTTTAAATTCCGCGGTAGCTACGTCAGCCAGGGGTTTGCCGTGATGGTGTGACTTAGGAAGTCAACACCAAATGACCTGTGGCCACTGCGCGGGGATGACAGATTCTGATTCATACCATGAATCTTGTTTGACGTCGACTGTCAAAGCCAGCTCAGTAGGCTCAGAGGCCTCGTGGATCTCAGGTTTTCGCAAATCCGTTGCACTTTTATCTTCGGGTGAGGGACTGAGAAACTGTTACGTTACCCTACAGCTGAGAAGACTGACGTTGGCTTCCTCTTCCTTGTATTCCTGTCGTAAAGCGACCCCCTAATCGTTCGGGAAAGCTTCCACTTCCACCCACGGGAATAGACATGCCGGTCATGCCCCCAAAGCTCTGCACATTTGGGAGCGCCCCGGAAGATGGGTTCCGCCCGGCAGACCGGTTAGCGTGGCCGGGCTGTCCTGCCACGCGCGTGCTCGTGACGCAGCACGCCAGGAAATCCCGGGCGGTGAGCGGCCGGGCTGCAGGCACCGGGGGCGCCGGCTCGTATATACAGGCGGCACCGGGCAGCCGGGAGCAGTATCAGCTCTGCGGCCGCCCAGTCACAGAGTCGTCGCTGGTCCGCTTAGCCAAAAGGCGCAGAAGTCCACAACCGTTGGAGAGATGAAGCTGATCCAGACGCTGCTGCTGGCGCTTTGCGCGGCCGCGGCCGCCGCCGACCTCTGCGGCTGTCAGCCGACATTCGCCTGCGGTCTTCCCTACCTGCGCCAGTCGGGCCGCCCCATCAGGTGTCGCCTGAGCAGCGGCCATCTCGGCGTCTGCTGCCGGGGCCAGGTCGCACCGCCACCGCCCCCGCCTCCGCGGTTCCCGGTCAGGCCCGTCCTCGGCTTCCGTGGCGAGGGGCTGCCGGGTGCGCCGCCGACCGTCGCGGCATCGCCCGTCGCGCCACCGACCTCCGCGACCTCGCCGACTGCGCCGCCGACCTCCGCGACCTCGCCGACTGCGCCGCCGAGCGCTGCGACCTCGCCGACTGTGCCGCCGAGCGCTGCGACCTCGCCGACTGCGCCGTCGAGCGCTGCGACCTCGCCGACTGCGCTGCCGAGCGCTGCGACCTCGCCGACCTCGCCGCCGGGCGCTGCGACCTCGCCCGCCGCTCCACCGAGCGCCGCTGCGCAGCCGGCTCAGTTCGTGCCGTCGGCGCCGTCCCAGACGCCCAACGACCTGCTTGGTCTGCAGGGTCGGCCCAACCTGGGCGCGCGCTTTGGCGGCCGTGACCTGCAGGAGGAGGGCAGGCAAGCGCTGCTGAGCCTGCAGGCGCTGGCCGCGAGGCAGGCGCCACCCGCCCCCGTCGCCTCCCTGGCTGGCCGCCGCGGAGGGTTCCTGTTCAACTGAGTCGACGCCCGAGTGTCTGGCGGCACCACCAGGCCACAGGAGCAGCTGGGCCTCGGCTGACCTATGACGGGTGCCATGGAGACGTGGGGACAAAGGCACTGTTGAAGATGTCGTCATGACGAACGGCTGACAGTAGCGCATCGCTGCAGATACCAAAGAAGCCAGTCATCGAAGCGCGTCGTGTGTATTGGGCAAAGCCCGCTGTCACCCATTGTAATGTGTAACGTTGTAACCGTGTGTGATGCCATTGGAGAATCGCGCTTATCCTGCCATGCAAGAGAAAGAATAGACCTGTTCCTCGAAAAGGTTGATTGTTCAGTTTTGCTCCACAGCTGCCATGAGAATTGATGGCAAAATTTATGCGCTCTTATGGTAAGAACACAGCCAAGGGTTGAAGGAAAAGGGCTGTTTTCCCCTATAAGCGCCGGAAAGACGGATGTGTTTATGTTGTATGTATATCATCCTGAGAAATCGAGATCCAGAAGCGTCTGGGGCCCCTGGATCGGCCGGGAGCAGGATATGTCGTCAGCAAGTTTTACCGTTCGTAAATGTGGCAACCGGTGTGGTGCGACAAGGACGCCTCAAAATTATATCCCTGGTGTGTCAGATAAATAATCAGCTGTTGACTGGACGCGGGATGACATGACAGGGGAGGGGGGAGGGTAGGCAGGAAATGTCAGGTAAAACTACATGGATTTTCCTTTCTCACAGCGCTTAATATTTTTTAAAGCGTCAAGTACTTGACTTAAGATTATGTTAATGTTATATTCTACCCCTACTGCATGCTCGAAATTGTGATTTCTTGCCATTCAGCGAGGCAAACTGAAACGACTCTGCAGGTGTTCCAAGATACTGAAATACCTGAAAATGCATAGGTAGCTTCCTGTGGCACCACATCACATTGACCATGCGTATCAGTATTGGCGCCTTCCGACTATTACCCACTCAGCGCGGTCGCTCTGCATAGCATCTGCCGGTCTATCCTGGCTCACAAGTAACTTAACCAGCGCTTATAGCCAGTGCTTGTCTGAGGTCATAAAAATGTCTAGCTAACAACTGGTCGCTAAAACTTCTCTCAACTCAACTTCAACCTAACTTGCCTCGGTGCAAAACTGATACTGTAGCTCATGATTATGAATGACATAATTATCAAAAGTTTCGTTATGTTTTAAAATGTGGTCAAAAGCAAGGCAGATGTGTCACCTTTAAGGTTTCCACAGCGTTCGTATGCCGGTATGCGTGCAATAAGCAGTTTCAGCAGAAGATCTTTCATCAGCAGTCGCCAACCAAGTGGTATAGCATAAGTTCAAGAACTTTCGCCCCGTCGCGCCGAGGGATTCCCAGGGTTCGAGTCCCTGAGAAGGCCAACTGTTGTGGCCTACCACTGTATCTAGCGCCGAGGGATTCCCAGGGTTCGAGTCCCTGAGAAGGCCAACTGTTGTGGCCTACCACTGTATCTAGCGGTAGGCCTCCTTGTTTACGACTTGTGTTGACTTATGATGGGTGTGTAGCGCCATCTGCAGCGCTGATCTCGACTATAGCCTAAACAAGTGCGAAGTGGTAACAAGTTTGCTGGCACGACTCGGTCGGAAATTTCCGAGTTAAGCGTGCTCGGAACATCTCTATGTAAGATTCGTAGAACGACTGCACGCCGGCCGTGATGCAAATCTGGACCCGCATTGCAACTGGGTGATATTAATTTTACAGCAGAAACAAACCGGCATTGTCATTATATGAGTCATGATCTTACTTGGAAACTGGCGTGTTCAGGTGGTGACCAAACAGGGACGTGAGTTTTTCCTTTCTGCGGTAGGTGGCAGCGCCGCTATAAGCGGCCGCCCCATGCTGAGCTGAAATTCACTGCTGATTTCTAGCCTTGAGCAGCCGAAAAGCGATCGTGTTTATCAAAAGACATATCCAACGTCCCGTGTAGGTCGGATTGGTTGTGATTAGACATAAGATACCACAGCATCCACCTTCGAATGATACTTTGCTACAACGGAGTCAGCTAACGGCTAACGCTGCTACATTGTTGACAGGAGAGACAAATGGATAACATACAAATTGGAATCAGCGTAATGTATTTCTGTAGTCGTGTTGACTGCTATTTTGATCGCAGAGATTGCTCTTCTGGCCGATCCGTGGAATATCCGCGCTGGTTATGTTACTACACTATAGACAGTGATGCAGACCCTGACGTGATGAGTTTTTCGCTGGGACCACACTGAGCAGCCATCGGTACTTTTTGACCGCCGTAGCGTGACGGGACATCCGTCCACGTCTTCGGGAGAATTTAACCCCTTTACGACGTCGCAGAAGAAGAGAAACGATAAAAACAATCATTTCTTTCCCGAAGTAGGCTTGCCACTGCTCCACGCTTTGCCCATGTTAAGCTCCACTGAACGTATAAAGACTTATACATTCGTGGAAATACCGGACGAAGCAAACTACGGATGATGGGCTGATGCTCTTCCACAGGCCTCGGTATGCTGATAACGCCGCTGTTCATTGCTGTCCAGTTGGTGGCTGCTGGTCTGGCGACCTCAGGTAAGTGGAACAGTACTGAGTGCCGCACAGCCACGGCTAACGCCCGGTAGCGGGAAAACATGGCTTCTCGACTTGCTCGACATGCTCGCTGAGCACCGCCTTGTTTGTGAAACCTAGGCGCCCTGTAAATTTGGCTGGTTGTTCATTTTTGACGAGAGACGCTCCCAGAATGTCGTGACGGTCGACGGTCGCAGTGTGGCGTACGCGTTCTCCGTCTTCCGCCCGTCTCCGGAGACGTCCTCCGACGGGCGTCAAGTGTCGCTCGCCGAATGCTCTGCGTGCGCTGAGGGGGAGGGCTGAGGCTGACCTGCGTCACGTGCGCCGGGTCGTCGTGTAGGTCAGCGGGACTTTGCGGAGACTCGGGCGAGTGTGGCCGCTGGTATGGAAAACACCTGTAAATAACATGTTGGCAAAAACGTACATCATCTATGACATCTGCCTGCCTGCAGAAAGCAACCATGCCGTCACAATTAAATAGAGAAACCCATAGAAACGAGACCACGGCTTCCGCAGCTCCGTCACTACGGTGAAACGGTGTCTTCTCCCGAGAAGATAACGCGATCCTGTAGCCTTTGATGGCGCCCTGTACCCGCCAGTGATGTGCCGGTTCCACCTAATGGCCGGCCGCCTTGTCTCAGGTCCGAGGGAGAAGGTCGTGGATGCATCTGGTACCGCGAAGCTGAACTGTCCCCGTGGCAGGGAGGCGAGGAAGAGCATGCTGCTCGCGGAGTTCCGCTGGTACCGGAACGATCGACTGTTCATGACGAAGCGAGCCAGAAGTGACATGGCCGACTTCACGACCCGTGACCCGAGGATCTCCCTTCAGCGAGACAGGTGAATGTGTCTGCTGTTACCGGCGGCCGCTTCTTTAAACAGCGCCATGCGCTGATGTGGCTGGCCGTGCGAACGCTCTCCCCGGAGTCAAATTCATTGCAACTGACGATAACGATGACCTGCGTTCGATGTACTTCGCCTGAGTGTGTAGCGAACTGTAAGGTTGGCGAAATTGTGTCTGATTTCGCTTCAGCGGTATGAAAGGGAGTGTTTCGCGTTTGAAGATGCTGAAGCAAACATCAGACGTGATGAAACAAGCTCACTTATAGCTATTAGCATATTTTTTAAGTGGAAAAGACTGCTATAGATAGCACAATTCTCTGTTTACTAAATATGCTCCTCAATGCGTCATGGTTTAATTACGTCATCATGCCTTGCACAACATTGATTGAGAATCAGTTGACGGCTGTCTTAACGCCGATCTTGATCTAGATATTGACGATTGACGCCGATCTTGATTCACGACAATGTGGCAGTGCGCGTCAACCTGGACACGATGCCCGTGCGCACGAGATAATGTTCGGTGTCAGCTATTGTGGGGGTCAGGTTGGCAGACGGCGTGTCACACCTGTCGCTAGGCACGTTTTCAGCCCATTGGGTTGGCACGGGTCCTCTCGGCGGAAATGCGGCTTTAAATTATGGAGCACGCGGCCGTGTCTCCGTACCCGTAGGTCGGAACGACAAGAAATTGACGCGTACACAGTCGTTTTTCATAGATACCGAAACACGTAGGTTTGGTAGACAGTCGCATTTTGGATTGCGTGGTGCCGGCTTGCGGTTGCGCGTGTAATGTTACGCGCGTACAGGAGCGCTCGAGATGGGCTTGCCCGGTTTTACGATGTTTACGCTTTATTCGGTATCTCGGCGGCCAGAGCAGATGGAGGCATGATGCGAATTTCAAAGCATCGACTACATGACAGTTAGCAATTTCAGGGATAGGCACGTAAACATTAGAACGTTAGGGACATACGATATTGCTTTACAACGCGCTTCTGTTTTGCCCCCACTCCCACCCATTCGTGAAATCCTGCACACGCCCCTGGCGTAAACCATGTTACCGTGGCCATGCAAAACAAGGTGGTTGTTGTTTTGCGACACACGTCAGTTGTGCGTGAGTGCGTGAATTCCCCCTGTGCGTGAAATCCTGTGCATACCCCGAGCGTGGATCATTTTACCGTACAGAATGGAACGGCCCAATCATTGCGCTGTTTTGTGCCTGGCAGCCACAGAACTTTATCAGCTGCCAGAATATTAAATTAATATAATATAATATAAATATAATTTCTCGTCCAGAACACGTTTTTGAATAGGGACGGGAAGCGCGAGAGGTCAAGCACCAATTTCATAACACTTTTGCGTAGTTTACCCCATTTTGCTGCAGAGCAGACTTGACTGACTGAGTTTGTCCCCCACCTTGCACGCATCTCTACAGTACATCACTGCAACGTCCTCCGGGTGCCGCCTGGTTTCGCGTCGACCAAGGATCGCAAGTGTCCCGAAATTGTACACATAATTGCAAAATATGACGTCTGCGTCTACAAAAAGCGCAAAAGGAGCGTATACATGCAGAACAATAAGTTATTCCACGTATTTCGTAGCTTTCGGACCGCTTTGGGAGGCACTCCTCGCTTACCGCCACTTTTTCAGCTCCCCGTTTGATCAGCAGGGGAAACATGTAATCTGTGTGTCGCGAAGCAGCTGATGGCCACGGGTCGGAAACACCGATGCGGACGGGGGACGCCGCTGTGACTGAGGACGTACTCATCGGCTCCTGTCCCGGACTGGTGGTCCAGAGCGTACCGGCCGACTCCTCTCCCGACGATGATGATACGGGACGTACTGACCGGCTCCTCTCCCGGGGCTGATGATCCGGGACATGCTGACCGGCTCCTCTCTCCAGCCTGATGATCCGGGACGTGCTGACCGGCTCCCTCTCCCCAAACTGGTGATCAGGAACGTGCTCGCCGGCTCCTCTCCACAACCTGATGGTCCGGGACGTACTGACCGGCCCATCTCCCGGGCCTGATGATCCGGGACGAACTGACCGGCTCCTCTCTCTAGCCTAATGATCCGGGACGTACTGACCGGCTCCCTCTCCCCAAACTGGTAATCAGGGACGTGCTCGCCGGCTCCTCTCCCCAATTTGATGGTCCGGGACGTACTGACCGGCTCCTCTCTCCAGGCTGATGATCCGGGACGCCCTGACAGGCCTTTCTCTCCAGGCTGGTGATCCGGAACGCACGTCCGTCGGACGCCGGCACCTACGGCTGCCACGTGATCTGGCCGTTGCCGGAGCGGTGGCACAACTACAGCCTCCAGATCACCGGAGCCGACTATGACGACGGCTACAGAGACGACTACGGCGACGGCTACTGGGACTACTACGACGCCGACTACGCCAGCTATGACTACTACCCTGACGACGAGCCGGTCGAGCGGGACGGCAACAGCACGGAGAAAATCGCGGAGCTCTGCACTGCCTTCGAGCCTGGTGCGACGCCTGGGACGAACGGCTCGTTGGGGCCGCGTGCGCCCCATTTCGACGAGACAGCCCGGCTGCGCCGGCTGGAGGTGGTGCTCGCCGGCAGCCCAGTCACCTTCCGCTGTCCGGTCAGAGGTCAGGCCCGTCTCGGCGCGCTGGGGAGGCGCGCGGACGTGCTGCAGCGTCGGGGCGGAGGAAAGACGGGGGAGGGGGGGGGGGGGGGGATAGCGGTACCCGCTTAGAATTTAGGAGCCATGCGAAGCTGTTAGTGGTTCAGCATGGCTTGTATCCTGTTCGTTCTGAAAAAGCTTCTCTGTCATGGCAGGTCCGGTCCGTGGCATTAATCGCCCGAGTTCATCTCACCTTACCTTACGTTAGATGGAGTTCCTCACCTTCACCTTACCTTGCACCCCTCCACCTCCCGCAGGTTGCCCGCCGCCACGCCTCCACTGGCTGTATCAGGGCCAGCCGGTGCTGAAAGTGCCGCACGTAGCCCGCGTCGCCACGTTCGGCGGCACCTGGCTCCGCCTGTCCATGGTCGGCCTCTTCCAGGAGGGCAGCTACACCTGCGTGGCCGAGAACACACTGGGGAGCGTGCGCCACGTCGTGGAGCTCGTGACCACTGGTCAGTGGCAGCCGGCGAGCTGGTGCGGCTCCCAGCCGAGCCAGCTCGAACGCGTGTTCAGAGCTTGTCGTGGCTGGCACCGCCTGTGGAGGGCACGTGGGTGTGTTGTTGGCGAGGTGGGACCGTGAGCAGCGTGACAGTTGACGATGACGACGGTCTGGCCTCTCCAGATGACGGTCTGGCCTCTCCGATCCCGTTTCTCTCTGAGTCCTGACCCTGACATGTGACCGTGTTCCCGTTTAGACGCCGCACTGCCGCTCATGCTTAGCTCCGGACCGACCCGTACCGGTTTGTTCCAGCCGACGGCCTGTACAAGGACCCGTTGATCGAGCCGGGGTACCCGCGTAACGTGACGGCGCTGGCCGGCTCCAACGCGACGTTCGAGTGCCCCGGCTCCTGGGACTTCGACATGGACCTCTTCTGGATGTTCACGCGCTCGGACATCGTGGAGGTGCACAACATATCTGACTTGAGCTCCTTCAACCGGTTCGCGATCAGCGCCTACGAGGTACGGCTTGGCCGAGGCCGATACGGGCGCAGGGGCGGATGGATCCGCAGCAGGCGTACAGCATACCTGGAAAGAGCTGGAACAGTGGGGTGAGAGGGTAGGCTAGCCGCGCTTGCGAGTGTCCGGCGTGAGGCGTCACTCCGGTATGCTTCGCTGGAGTCAGTAGCACAATGCGTCCCCGTCACCGTTCCCGACCGACCACCCCGCTGTGCACGGTTGGCCACGAGCGGCCACTGGGCCCCGTCGCCAGATCAGCGGGGCTCCGCGGAGCCGCGGCCGCCGCCAGCCCGGCGCCCAGCCCGGAGCGGCCGGGAGTGGCGTGGCAGTGACCGGCGCGCCGCGCCGCCCGTGCCGCAGCAACGCTACGACATCAGCGGCCAGCAGCGGCTGGTGGTGCGGGGCGTCAGCGGCAACGACAGCGGCTTCTACACCTGCCTCATGTACAACCACATCGGCTTCGACGTAGCGAGCGCCCACCTGCGCGTGGTTGAAGGTGAGGAACGAGACGGACCGGCCGCGTGACGCGCACGGCTGGCCGGGGCCCGAGTGTCGTTCAGAGCAGCGGCAAGGTCCTCGGGGAGGTAGGTTCGGGAGAGATGAGGTCGGTGGGTCAGCATTCCGTGGTTAGGGAGTTCTGTCAATATGTCCGCTACAAAGCGGGGCTTGATTGAAGTGCGTTTGCTTGTGAGGCTGTAACTGATTGCGTGTTCGGTGGCTGTTGGATCGTCTGAAGGTATCGGTAACCGTGCAGCCTGGACGAGGATTATGACCCACGCTTCAGCCGAAATGAAGGTGCCGACCGCAAGCGCTAAGAGGTCAAACAGTTTTGGTTGAGGACGTTTACCGTTATCGCATGCTAAAGTAAATCTTGCTCGTCTGGTTTGGAGCAGTTCTGAAATGTCGAATGGCAAGCAATGCCTGCTGGGTCCGTTTTTGTCGAGCACTTTCAAATCACTCAGACGTATGAACAGTGTACTGTTAGAATACTAAGTGGGTTATAGAGTTACCGTTTAGGGTCGGAACTTGATGTCTCAAGGTGTCGTCGGTGAGTTTAGAACTTACCGGCCTGTGTAAAAAAGACGGCGTGCCAGGTCATGTGTTGGTACCAATGTCCTACCACGGGCGTTTCGGCGTCACCGGTCTGAGAGCGGGCGCTGCGCGCGCGTATTTCCCAGAGGTGCCGCGGGCGGCGCTGCCCGTGCGGCCTGCCAACGCCAGCGCGCTGCTTGGCTCGCGCGTGACGCTTGAGTGTCCAGCTGCGGCTACCGCCACCAGCGGCGAGGTCATCTGGCTGCGCTCCGAGACTGGCGCGGTCCAGCTGACGACGCCGCGGCAGCTGGAGCAGGCCAGGCGGTGCGCCCTGCCCCGCTCAGAGGTGAGACTGGCGTGGTCCAGCTGACGACGCCGCGGCAGCTGGAGCAGGCCAGGCGGCGTGCCCTGCCCGCTCAGAGGTGAACATTCAGCTCTGATCATCGCGCTCTGGGTTAGGCTGGGGTGTGCGCTCCACGTCCGAACTGGCGGTGCTTTGTAGCCTCTCGTGCCAGCTAGCGTCTCCCGCGTCGTGCTTCAGTCTCACTGACATCGGAATCATCGTGTTGGGTTGGACAAACCGCGAGCTTTGTTGCTCGCTTATGGCGATTATGTTTGTGGCGAAAAGCGGAAACTGGGTGCGAAAGCTGTGAATGAAGTGCAATAGCACTTAATATTGGTGTCATAGCTCGCACACCCTCATTCATGGTTTTGGACACTGCCGTGGTTGTTGCTGCAGGTTGACGGCAGTCGTTTCAACACGTCCTCGCCGCCCCGTCTGATCATCACGAACGTGGCGGCCAACGACTCGGGGTACTACGTCTGCGTCGTCCACACTGCCTGGGACGTCTCATACGCCTCGGCCTATGTCGCAGTGGTGGAAGGTAAGACATGCTCGTGTCGTCCACGGTGCCCGGTACGCCTCGCACGCCTCGATGTGCGTCACAAAAGCCAAGCCGTCACAACAGCCAAGGCTGCGTCTTCCGCTAAACTGTCGTTTTTTCTTGCACTACAGCACTCGCGAATGTGGTGCGATAGCTCGTACACAGTTCGAGTCTTGGAGGGCGCGGGGAGAGCGTTCAGTGGCGTCCCTGGTTTGGTGACGTGTCCTAGCCCGGCGCCCTCGCTCTCGTCGGCACCATGTCTTGGAGGGCGCGGGGAGAGCGTCCAGTGGCGCCTCCGGTTTTGGTGACGTGTCCTAGCCCGGCGCCCTCGCTCTCGTCGGCACCATGTCGAACGCCAACCCGCTCGGTGACGCTGCAGGTCCGGGCGGACTGCCGGCGCTGGCTCGCTGGGCATTGTGGCTGGTGTCGGCGGCGATCGCCGCCATCGCCGCCTGCACGCTGCTCTCTGTGGCGCTCTGGTACGGCCGCCGCCGGGACAAGCGGCGCATCCGCACCCTGACCAAGCGCGTGGTGATCGAGGCGTCGCCGGAGGAGTTCGCCGCGCCCCTGGTGCGCGTCGAGCCGTGCAGGTATGTGGCGCGCGCTCTGGGATGATGCCTGTGTGGGCGGCGCGGGCTCCCGGCAGAGACGCGCCGCCAGCGTGCAGGTTATGGTCCGTCGCCATTCGCGTCATCCCGGGGTGTACTGTGGCTGTGGTGTGCTGTGTGCCGCGGTGACCGAGTGGCTACTCTGGGATGGTGCCGCGCTTGTTGTCGGACGCGTTGTGCTATCTGACCGTGATGACTGATGTCAGCTGGAACAGTCCGGTTTGTGTTCTGCCTCCGATGTCGCTGTCCCGCAGCGTGAGCGCTTACGTGGCCGAGTAGCCGGATACACCCTGTCGCGATCCAGCACCGCGTGTCCCAGCCGTGAGGCGTGGCTGGGGAGAGCGCGTGCTGCGCGTCGCGCGTGGCCGAGCCGACGGCGGCGTCTCCCCGTCAGGGTGTCGGAGGGCAGCGCGGCGCCGCCCGCCTACCTGCTGCCACTGGACCCGGCCTGGGAGGTAGCGCGCCATCGGCTCGAGCTGGCCGACGGTCTGGGCGAGGGCTGCTTCGGCCGCGTGGTACGCGCCCGCCTGCGGCCGGCCGGCCAGCAAACGCACCCCGTCCGCATCGTCGCCGTCAAGATGCTGAAAGGTCAGCGGGGTCGGCGGGGCAGGCCTGGGAGACAGCCGGAACTTGTGCGGGTGCTGGGGTAGTGATGCTTTCGGTTGTTTGACGGTGCTTGTGAAACCGGCCGTCGTCGCCTTTTTGTCATGTCGATTGTGGCGGAGATCGAAACGGGGCTGGTGGTGAGTTTCGAACCCACCACTTCACGATGCCAGGGCAAGCGCCGTCCTGGGTTTCAACGTCCCCTGGGTGAGCTATAGTTCACGGGCCAGCCCGGCACCGGCATCACGAGACGACGAGCGCAGCCGGCGCTCGCGTGCAGATAGTCGCTGCGTTGTTAGCCCGAGTCACTGCGGTTCTGCGGTCTCTGGGAACTGTCCGCCGGCCGGTCCGGGCGGTGCGGTTTGTGATAGTGCGCCGGCACGCTGCGGGAGTGAGTAACAACTGGGAGGTGTCGCGGTGTAGTGTCATCCGGTGCCTGGTGCGGCGCGCCAGCCGCTAAACCGCCATCGACAGGAACAACTGACCGTCTCCGCAGCCGCGAAAGCTGACTGATCTGAGGCTGCGGGCAGCGGCGGCCGGTGAGGGCTGCTCGCTTGGGTGGAGGCTGTCGGCTACATTCGTGTTCTGACGGCTGGCGGACCGGCGGTTCCCAGAGCACCACTGCGACGCGGACCTGATGGACCTGGTCTCCGAAATGGAGGTGATGAAGAAGATCGGACCGCATGTGAACGTCGTCAGCCTTATCGGCGCTTGCACGCGCGGCAGCTCGCTGATGGTCATCATGGAGTACGCCGAGCACGGTCAGCGCGGCGTCACCCTTCCGGGCGCTGCCCTCTCCCCCGCTGGAGACTGGTGGCACAGTGTACCTGGTTGGCGCAGCCAACAGATCACAGTCGTTGCAGGAAGGGGGGGGGGGGGGGTCTACGGTCCGCTGGGCGTGCCAGTTGCGGGCGGTATGTAAATGCGTGGATCGCAACACTGCGCGCACTGCAACACCTCGGGCTCCGGATGCGGGTTCCAAACCGCGCTGTCAGGGATCGCAACAGCGTCTTGGAAAGTCGTGAGAACACAAGCTAAATTTAACAGCAACGCTGAATTAGCTCATCTGGACGACATTGGGGCTCACAAGCTTCGGGAAACTGGCCAAGATTCATGTGTATGACACAATGTTGCAGCGATACATGCACCTGACGTGTCCTGCAGCTGGAGCCAGTCCTGTCCGTGCACGCCTTCTCGTCTCCCAGGAGGCGACAGATGCCGCGCCCGTTGGCTGACCCCCCTCCCCCCCCCCCCCAGGCAACCTCCTGACGTACCTGCGCGAGCGACGCGAGACGACAGAGTACGAGCGGCCGTTCGATGTCGAGCTGCCCTCTCTGTACGACCTGGTCAACTTCGCCTTCCAGGTGGCCCGCGGGATGGAGTACCTGGCCAGCCGGAAGGTACGTACCGCGGTCGCCTTAACGGAATGGGTCTGGCCGTTGTTGGACAGGTTTGGCTGGCTCGGTGTTGCATAGCTGAGATAGCTTCTTTGTCTCCGACTGCTGGATGCCAGTACGTACTTCCGCTGCTCCTCTGAGGCCGTTCGGTTCTGGTTATTTCTGGTTATTTCTTAAGCGTGCCCGATGCCCATGGCCCGCGTTGTGCAGTCTCGCCCCTCGTCGTAATTTCGGTTCGTCTGGTTCGTTCGTTCGTTGCCGCTCTGGTCTGCTCGGTGAGCCCGTGGGTCGCGGCTTCAGGTACGACACTACCATCTTACCCCACCCGTTACCCCACACCTTACCCCACACCTTACCCCACACCTTACCCCACACCTTACCCCGATCACCGATTAGTCGCTACTGAATATTCCTAGTGCAAAGACGATAAGCAAGACTGTTGGAAAGATGCGGGACTTTCCCCACCACTGCGGCCCACACTGTCCTATCATGACATGCCACCCTTCATTACACCGAGCGCTATGAAGACCCGCCGCCACCCAACGACAGGTGGCACTTGTCACCGCACCACGTCTTCCACCGCACCGCTTGCTACCGCACCACGTCTTCCATCGCACCGTTTGCCACCGCACCTCGTCTTCCACCGCACCGCTTGCCACCGCACCACGACTTACAACGCACCGCTTGTCACTGTACCACGTCTTCCACCGCACCGCTTGTCACTGTACCACGTCTCCCACCGCAACGCTTGCCACCGCGCGGTCGGGCGTCGCCGAGAGACACTGCATTGAGCGGGCACCTGCCGCCCCTCCGCCGCCAGTGTATCCACCGAGACCTGGCCGCCCGGAACGTGCTGGTCGGCGAGAACAAGACGCTGAAGATCGCTGACTTCGGCATGGCTAGGGACGTCAAGAGCAAGGACTACTACCGCAAAGTCACTGGCGGCCGGCTGCCGGTCAAGTGGATGGCCCCTGAGGCGTTGTTCGACCGTCTCTATACCACCGAGTCTGATGTGTACGTACGCTGGCGCTGGGGTCGTGTGTCTGTCACGTCACGCCGCGTCACGTGTGGCTCAAACGTGCGCTTGTGTGCCTACGATGGGTAGTGCAGACTGCTTGCCTGGAATTACGCCTCTTGTTACGCCTCTTGGGGACTCGTGGAATCCGTGAGCGGACATTTTAAAGATACCTCTACCAGGCACTACTGTTGACACCAGACTGCTCCCGGCCGGCAGCTGGTCGTTCGGCGTGCTGATGTGGGAGATCATGACGATGGGCGACGCGCCGTACCCGACCCTCAACAGCGTGGACGAGCTGGGCGACTGGCTGCGGCAGGGTCGGCGCATGGCCCGGCCGCCCGCCTGTCCCGTCGGCTTGTGAGTCCCACCGGAGTCTTCGCCGGTGCCGCCGCCGCCGGCTGGCCACATACCTTCGGTCGGGGAGAAATGGGTCGATGAGCTCGGCGGCTACAGGTGCACCGTAGAAAGGATAGATTTTGTCACTATGGTTTTGTGTTTTGTGAATATGCTTGTTTCAAGTCGCATTCTTCTGTGGCTAATAGCACCTGCAATATTTCACGATGCTATCATTGATCTCGATGTTTTTTTCGTGGCTGAACATGCTCGATCAAATACAGTTACTCTCGCTTTTTTGCAACGTTATCGTACCGGTGTAATGGCGCTGTAATATTCCCGGATGCGCGCGGCGTTTGCAACCATACAACCTCTCGCGCTTTTAAAGCTGGCCGGGTTCATTGCTCGGCGGCTGGGAGGAATGCAAGCCGATGTTTGTTGCCTGGGTTCCGGGAGGCCCACTACCCGGTGGCTGGTGTGACGCTCGGTGCTATGTCGACGGGGCCTGGTAAGTGCCCACCGCCCAGCACTGGCCGAGCACGGGACCGGGGCCCGACGAGCGGCGCGTATACGTTAATGCATCTCTCGCCGCGCCGTCTCTCGTCACGCCGCACCGGCCGGCCGCGTCGGCGGACCTGCCCGGAGCGGCGGTCCCGGCGCGGTCCGCCGCGGAGGCTGCGCAGCCCGAGACCCGAGGCCGGTCCGTGACGCGGCCGCGCCCCGCCGCAGGTACGACGTGATGCTGGACTGCTGGCGTCTGGAGCCGGCCCGGCGGCCCTCGTTCGGCCGCCTGGTGCAGCGGCTGGACGGGGTGCTGGTGACGCTGATGCTCATGGTACGGCCGCAGCGCGGCACCCTCCGCGCGGGTAGATGGGAGCTCACAGTGTTGGAGCTTGGTGAGACGGGTGTTGCCAGCCAGCCAGGTGGCGCCGGTGGCGCGGGCGGCGGCAGCAGCGTTGCTGAAGATCGTGATTCTGGCTGGGCTGCGGGCGATTGTCGGTAGCATGGAACGCCGTGGGGAGATTTAAGTTCGGAGGCAGGCTCTTACGAGGCACAGAGACGTCGCGTGCAGCGGGAGACGGAGGCGTAGCCAATGTCGCCGACCGCAGGTTCGCACCAGTGGGGTGGCTCGTGTCGCAGCAATACCCCCCGGCGCAGTGTCCGGGATGACGGCGGGAGTGACCTGTCCGGCTTCATCGGCCGTCTGCCTGCCGCCCCCAGGAGTACGTGGCGATGGCCTCGCCCCAGACCCACGTCGAGTACGCGAACGTGCCGCGGCCGGCGGGACCTTCCGCGTCGCCCTCCGCGCCGGCCTTGCCCTGACCACCGGGCACCTCAGACTGAAGGCGTCGAGCGAGCGGTCAGCGGGTCTGCAGGCAGCTGGACTCGTGCTCGTTTCGTCAGCGGACTGCCGTCACGTCCGTGTCCAATAAGTGCTCAGGTTTGTTTTTACCAGTGTTCCTCGCCGGGCTTTTAGTTGATGGTAACCCGGACCTTGGGTCGCCGGTGCGGCGCCTCGCTGGGGTGACCGTCGCCACAAGGACTGTGGCGTGGCATTTCTTCTTGGACTGAACAGAATGCAGCGCGGGTTCGCCTAAGCCGCTCGGCTCATGTTTAAGGCCGTATTTTTGTTTGTTTTTACAAGCGTTCTGCATCGAAGTTTGAGTTCCTCTTGGTCCAGGCGCTGGAGATCTCCGGTGTGGTGCCTCGCGAGGGTCACCTCCCGAGGGCTGGGGTGTAGTGTTTCTGCTTTGATTTAACGGATTAGCGGAAGCGCGGATTAGCGAATAGTACAGATTAGCGGATAGTACAAGTTAGCGGAACAGCTCGTCTTTCGCGTGAGGTTGTGCTTGTACAGTTCACACCACTTCGAAGTTTGTGAGCGCATTCCCATTGTGCGGGTGCATGTCACGCACCAAGCAAAGCGTTTCGAAGTTTGTGAGCGCACTCCTATTGTTCGGGCGCATGTGACATGCGAAGCCAGAGCATGATCCTGATAGCCCATTATGAAGGTCTTTTTATTTGAAATGTTTTCGTTGCGATTGTTTTGCGTAACGAAGCCAAGGTTGTCAAGTATAATGTTTATTTTACTACCAGCTCGTAACCTGGATGGTGTCTGGAGCGGTCTCAGAGTTTTAGTGGCATAGTTGCTTTGACGGGTTTCATCGGAGTAGAGACTCCCTACGTTACGATCATACCAAGGACTCAGGCACTTGTGGTGCAGCTGTGATTTTTCTGCTGTGATTTTTGCCGGCGGCGGAGTGTTTGGACTGGCGCACCTTGTGGTCGAAGAGACTCCGTAGTGAATATACATGTATTCACCTTCCAGTCATTTGAATATACAGTGAGCCATTGCATTGAGTAACTTGAGGCAGTGTCTTTCGCTGCGATGGAATGGAAAAAAGGAAGGATGAGAAAATATGGTAGATGCGGTCGGCGTGCCTCGACGCAGCGGACGCCGGTCCGGAAGCTGAATCGTGTGGCTAACCTCAGATGTGTGGGGAACCCCAAGCCCGGAGATGCCAGGCCGGCGCGGAGTGACCGCGAAGTTCGTTTTTGCATGTCATGCTTACTCCAGCATGCGCTTGCAAAATGTGCTCGTCATTTGGGCCGTTACGAGTGCAAGAAATACGCGTAAAGGCGGAAAATTAGAAGAAAAGTCCTTTGCGACCGCGGATTGCTTATAATTGCGTAATTGCAGCGTCTGGACGAATTGGACGCTTCTCACAACAGCATCTTTGAACCTCGTGGGGGGAAGTTTGACATTTTTAATAACATTTTTAAAATGAGGTTTGGAGTTTATTGCGCACATTTTAGTGGTTTAGTTTCGAAAACGCAAAAAATGCAAAAGTCCGATGGGTTAAAGCAAATAAGGAAACGATCAGCAGGAGAAAAGTCAAGCAATACAATTTTAAATTGGCAGAGCGTTAAAGGTAAAGAAAAATAAACAAATGTCACGACGATGGCAAGTAAAAAGGAGTCAAGCGGGGAGATACAAATTGAAATAGCAGGCTAAACGCGGCAGTCGATTAAGTGACCTGTCTGGATAATGCTCAGGGCAAAAGTTAAATGAAAAAGGAGTCCAAGGAACGCACGTTCAGAAGATCCAAGCAAAGCGTAAAAAGTCTACGAAAGCCACGGTGCTTTAAAATGCCTGACATGGTCCCCGTGTGTCAATCCTTGAGCTGAGCTAGGTAGTCCTTACCTGAGTTCAGGAGGCTCTGTTCTGCATGAAGGGTCCAATTTTATGGACCAGAACACCCTTATATGATCTAGCTACTTCCTGCTCTGGACAGGAGGTCCCGTTTTGTGTTCGGGGTTTGCCGGCTCAGGGGACCTTTTCATGAATCGGAGTACCCCTGTGCTCGGGGCAGGTACGCGTTGATTTAACACTGCCCATGTGTAAGACGCGGTGGCTCTGATACGCTGGGTACACGTGTCGGCGCGCTGGCTCCATCGTGCAGGGTGAGACAAGCGCTGAGGAGCCAGTTGGAGCGGGACATTCCTATCCGGCACACATGGTCCAGCAACTTCGCCAGCGTGACACCGGACATGGATAAACCGGTGACAAGACAGCGGACAAACGGTTCCCTGCGACCCGCACTCCTGCCTGGACGGACCAGGCCATGCCTTGTGCTTGGTCATCGTGCCACGACTCCGACGCGCACCGCCATCTGCCGGCGCATGCCTTCCGGCGGCCGCAGGACTGCCTCAGCTACGGGGTTTTCCCAGTGGACTGGCCGAGGCCGCAGGCGGCGCTGTTATCGCGCGGTCAGATGTCCGGGACCCAGGGGGCAGTCCGGGACCCAGGGGGCAGTACAGGACCCAGGGGGCAGTACAGGACCCAGGGGGCAGTCCAGGACCCAGGGGGCAGTCCGGGACCCAGGGTACAGTCCGGGACCCAGGGGCGAGGATTTTCGGGACGGAAGAGCGGACGCAGGTCTGCTATGGCACCACGGCCAGCTTATCGACTTGCAAACTGGTCTGCTCCCGTGACCGACGGACAAAAGACATAACAAAGGATGGCTTTGGAAAGCTGCGCTTGATGACCTGAGCTCAGTCGGGTGAGAGCGGCCACGAGCTCATTTCGGTGAGGGCAGTCATTAGCTCATTCCAGTGAGAGCAGCCATGAGCTCAGTCCGGTGAGAGCAGCCATTAAGTCAGGATAGTTCAGGTTCAGGATAAGTCAGGATAAGTCGGGATTTTCCATTTGAACGAACGGATCTTTGTCATTTTTTATTCTATGAAAACGCTCAAACTCGAACACGTTCTTATCGCGGGGTAAGACGTATAAGCCGGAAGCGATCTTATTTTACTTGCTCTATCGATCTTTAAAGCACTGATACGACGCTGATATATATTTTAAGGCATGGACGGAACCGACCAGTCTAATTTGTAGTCGGTGAACTCATATGACATGTCAAGGTCCGTAAGTTCGAGCTTTTGCTTCATGAAACTAGGCCCTGACAGGGGCAAATTTTTACTTTGGTTTTGGGGGACAAACCGTTCATGCAGTGTGTCATTTCAAACATCTAGTGGCTCACACCCACACCCGATATGCTGAATTATATATTCCGGGGTGGTGGCTTAGGCCCAGGTTGCTGTGTCGCGTGTTGAACAGCTCTGTGCGAAGAACAGGATATTCTGTGACAAGTAGGCTGGGTGTGATTACGAAGTTAACGTGTCACTAGGGGACCGTTTGACCAGGATCGGGACCGAGCTTGTTTGAACTCGGTCAGTATATTAACATCTGAGTCACTTCTCGAAAGGTCAGTGTGATAGCGGGTTAGCCATGTACCGGCAATGGACTACTCATATTAAACTCACAACCGTCGTAATCTGCGGGTGCGTGTTGACTGTGGACACAGTTAACTGCTCCAGCAGTAACAAAACGGGGAACCCGCGCAATTAATTGTTGCACGCACATAACAGCATACGCCTGGTCGTTTTGGGGGAGAGAAAATCATGGTTTCGATACTTTTGGGGGCATCGCCCCTTGGTCCCTGGATCCGCCCTTGGGCCATGATCACCGAATCACTAGCCGGCTAGTTGACGACCCGAAAACCCGCTATCGATTGTAACCGACGTCTATTATTCTGATTGCAAACAACCTTATAAGCCTTAACAACCTATATTGTGTTCATATCAGTAAATGAAAAACATAGAAGAACGCCAGAAGTTGAGGATGCAGATAATCCCGAATCGAGAATAGCTTGAACAAAAAGCTAGTGCGTATGTGTGCTGGGCGAGAGCTGGACGCGAGCGCCCGCTTGGAGCAAGAGGATCAGTGTGCGATGGGGAACGGTAGTATGGTGTGTGACGAACGGCAGAGCAGAGGAGGAACGCGTTCGCAAATGTGCACCAGTAGCCAGCATGGCTTTTTAACCAGCAGAGAGCTCTCCGGCATCCCGTTGATTCCTCCCACTGCCTAGACCCTGACATCGCCCTTGGTGGCAGGCATAAACGGTGATGGACCCGGCAGGCGATGCCAACGATTTTATCGCCACCACCGGTAGGCCGGCAAAGCCAAGGTATCGCGGTTTGCCGCGATGATGCTAGTTCCCGTCGAGGTACAAAATTATTAAAAAAATCGCAATCTCGGCAATGTTTTGGTATTTCATACATTTTAAAGTAACAATGATTATTCTAAGCCGTAGGAACCGATGTTTTCAACTAGCTAAGAAGTTAGGAGCGTAATACACAGTAATGTCTTTAACTTCTTGATAAACCTAGCATGACGCTTGTGCGGCGAAAGCTATGTTCATTCTCGTGCAAAGCAAGGCTATCTAACGGTGCAAAGTAGCGTGCGGCGAGGTGCGCAAAATTCCTTGACGTTTTCGCCGGCTTTTTTCTACACTACTGGAAAGATGTTCAAGGTATAATTTAATCTATTTCTGAGAAACACGATGATTTTATTCCCTTGTCAAATGAAGTGGTAGGACTGAACCGAAGGATATGATCAGTCAGATGTATGTTCTTCCAAGGGACTTCTCCGAGCTGCATCCGAAATGTCATGTCATTCAACCAAAGTTTAGTCATGTATGACACCATACATATGTATGGCAATGTGAATGCATGCTATGCAGGTAAATGGAAAATGATGGCTTGCAAGACTAGTAATGTAAAATGGAGTTTTCAAAGCAATGTTCCATGTCATGGTGCTTGGGGTTAGCGGACTTCATAAAAATGGTGCCTTGGAGTGTCAGCTAGTGTATTGGCTGGCCTGCCAGATTGCATGTTACATTGAAGAGGTCTAGGATGGCAGTGACATCCAGCAACAGTTCCATACATAGGCAAGGTAAATCTGTGAGTCACATGTCAGGGCAAGGCTGCTGCCGTTTGCAGCGGTGTAGGTATACATTGGTACCTAATATTAGAAAACATTATTGTACATCATTCATTGTATTTAAGGCAGAACATACAGTAAATAATCCTAAAACAGGTAGATTCATGCTCCTACCTTCAAATTTTAGTAACTATGATAGCAAAGTCCTGAGCACCACACACACCCCACCGCCTCGACGCCCTAGCTCTGTTTCTGTGGTACTGTTGCATAGTTATCATATTTCTGCTTATCAAGAACTAAAAATGTACTGCCAAGATAACAATAATAATGCAATGTAAAACATTTCTTATCATTTAATGTTTGCGACTCTCGGATGTTTGCTCTCATAGTTATTTAAGTTCCAAAGTAAGAGTTAAGATGACCTGTTTTGCAATTAATTATGACATGTTCTGCCTTAAAAATGACAATTGGTGTACAATGCCCTTTTTAACATGAGGTAGCCATGTATACCCTGACCTTTGCAGCACATATATGGCTGATATTTCAAGAAGTTATAGTGTTTCCAAGGCACTTTTGGGCCAGTCTGCAAAAATCATCCACTGTGCTAGATGCATACTTGACACAAGTCCGCTGGACCTCATGCTTGCATGTGCTGAATTGAGATCAGGACCCAATGTACTGAATTTCTTTATTGCCTCTGCTACAAAAATGTTGTTGGGTAGTTTTGTGTGGAATTTCTTTTGCAGCATCATAATTCCTTGAAATATTGGCTCTACTTGCCAATATTGTTTGCACTGTGCACCAAATTCTGAGTGATTTAAGTGTACATGTGCTGAAATATGGGCAGTCCTGCATGCGGTTGGTATAACCTGTATTTTGGCAGTCTGGCTTTAGGTAAAAATGCCTCAAAGCATGTTTTCAAGCAGTAATAACTAAGTTATTAGCTGAATAAATGTCCAAATAAAAATTGAGAAGCTCAGCACCAGTTAGCCTGGTCTGAGTTCCATGTACACATGCTCCAGCTTCAGCTCATTGCCATGTACTTGTAAGTGCAGTGGGTGGATTTTTGCAGACTGGCATACAGTTAATGTGCTCACCTCTGGATCATATGTGTCCTGCATGTGCTCACCTCTGGATCACATTTCAGAACAAAACAATCTTTATAAGACATCTTATATCATGCACACAACATCAATACTTGTAAACTGTGAGGTCTTATTATCAGAGCTTTCAAATGTAATGCATGTTTACAACCTTGATGCTGTGTTGTAAGTTTTGGACTCTGACCCATGGCATCCACTGCATTGAGATTTAGGGGTCAGGTTGAGCTACTTTGCTTGTAATCGATTTCTTGCACAGAAATAAACATTGTATGCCATTTTTAATCAATATTCTGCTGACATACCAGCTACTCAGAAAACCCAGAAGTGAACTCATGTTCACATTATCTTTATCCTTGATTTCTCAGGCATGCAGTCAGGAGGCAAGCTCTAACAAAGCAAACCCCTGAGAAATACCCACCTGTGCCCCTGGATAACAGTTATACTTGATTCATTGTACACCTGTGCAATATGGTTCCCTGTACAGGTACCAGGGAGATGTTTGCAGCATAGCAATGACCAACAGGCAATACTGGTGTCTGACCTTTCTGAAGCACCATGCAGTACCTATGCTCCCATTTTCCTCCATTAATAACACATCGTGGAATGCAGATGACTGTGATAATGCATACTAGGAACTAGGAAGAAGGTTCTATATGTGCTTGCATGCAACAGCAACTTGTGGCAAATGAATAGATGATTATGAGCAACAATGTTTCAGGGGGCAGGCTAAGCAAGTCTGACTGAAAATGTTGTTGATTCAGCAGCCTGGCCTGCCCAATTATGCCTTAGATAGGTTATACTTATGATGCCAGACCAGCATGCAATCAAAAAGTTTTTAGATGTAACTGTCACATACAGAATTAACAAATTATTTGTCATCTAATATGATGATTTATCTAAAAAACGGCTTTGGCACTGGCCTCCAACCACTGATAACTTGTGGCGCCAAACTGGCTGTAACGGCGCGGTGTGGTGAGCCTCAGCTGTCATCTGCCCGTCCTCTGCGGTGACAGGGCCTGGTCGGACTGGTGACGGGCGGCGCCTCGGGGCTGGGCAGGGCCACCGCCGAGCGGCTGGTCCGGGAGGGCAGCCGGGTGGTCATCTGCGACCTGCCCGCCTCGGCCGGCCAGGACGTGGCGTCGGCGCTCGGTGACAGCGCCCTCTTCGTGCCTACGGACGTGAGTCTACGGGCCTGTGGCGATGGTGCGCCGCCTCGCGGTGCGTGCCGTCAGGCGTTCGTCGTCAGGTGGTCGTGTCTCCGGCGCATCGAGGTCGTGATCGCCGTCGTCGGTAGTTCGTGGTCTTGTGCGTCCGTGACGGCTGTTTGCTTGTCGTAACCTGAAGCTGCAGAGTCGCGTCGCCATCGCCCGGCGCCAGGAAGTGCGGCGGTCTGGCGAGATGGTGGCTGTCGCTCATGATACAACCTGCACGTGGCTTAGAGGTCGTGCCTGGAGATTTTGGCCGTGCCTTAATAACCCCCCGCCGTCTTGCACGTGCAGGTTGTATCAGAGAAGGACGTGCAGAACGCGGTGGGTGCCGCCAAGGAGAAGTTCGGCAAGCTTGACATCACGGTCAACTGCGCCGGCATTGGCGTGGCCTTCAAGACGTACAACTTCAAGAAGGACAAGCCCCATCAACTAGAGGACTTCACAAAAGTTCTCATGGTAAGCCTCTGGTCGCGGCGTATGGGTCAGTTCTTGAACAACAGTGTTCAGTTGAGTTTGCGCTACCATTAGAGGGGTTTCGTCCTTCGGAGCTGTTTTTTCCTGGTTTGTGACGAGCGAGGTGATAACAGGTGTGACCTTTGTGATGTAGATGAGAACAACCTTAAACAAATAAACAGGTCGCCTTTTGTAACCGAGGCAAGTCATCCCTATCATCGCGCTGGAATATCCCCATCATCGTCTTGGCAGACTGAGGTGGGCTGATGTTCAGCGTTCTCGCTTCTCATTAGGAAAGAGTGACGTGAAGATTGCTTTGCTATAGGAAGGCGAAGCAATTTCATTCAACGAAACCGAGTGACTCGGAATGGCTTACGTTATCCGTTACCAAAGTATCGCGTAGACGCTAATGCTGGGGTTGAATTCCATGTGTTAAACAATAGCTGTGAATTTATAAGCCTGTTTCATGGATTGGGGCATGCAGTTTTCGGTAATTCTCATCAGCAGTTTAGGCGCCCGTTTCCGGATGGTCTTGCGAGCTGTCCAAATTTGCCGCGATACGCCCAAGTTGCCAGGTTGATGTTTCTTTTTGGGGCAATGTTGGAATTGTTTAATGAATTCGTCCCCGATGCCATGAAGTGCATACTGTAGGTGTACGATGCTCCGCTTTTTGCATGAATATAGAAGATAAATCGCACGATCAG